GAACATAGTGAGAAATCATAGAATAATAGGAGGACCTTTTCCGGACACGGAGCTTACCCAAATATGAAGTGATCGGGAAGGGAGTGCCCTGGAACAGAGTATAGATCTCCCTCCAGAGGTTAGGGATGATGTAGACAGGTTGGTGCTTGTGCACCCAAGTACCCCAGGTGAATGTAATGGGAGACATAGTGGGACCAGACGCCCAAACCCATTTGCTCTGCCACCTCTTATTATTGTCGGGGTATTGCTAGAACAACTTGTGTGGTAATGGCTAGTAGAACGACATGAACCCACCATCATCAAGTCTGAGATTAGGATGCCTCCAACGAAAGCAGTAGCGAAACAATAACATAGACAACTGGTTGGACATCCTCTAACAACGGGACACGAAGGCAACTGTGAACATTTGGGAAACCGGAGTCATCTGGCTCGGCGTTATCTTGAGATACCTAAGGAGCACTACCACGAAAAAACACAACGAGATTTGCACGCCCCGCTCCATGGATGTGATATGAGCTCCGAAGACATGTTAAAGGGAGGATAAGTGAGATTGTTACTGCGCTCCTGAAGTACGAAGGTGTAGTTGCGACCGACTAAATGTTCCATCAACCTCAAGCCCTGTCCGTGTGGGTAGGATGTAGACGTCCCGTCGTATCAACACGTGGAACCCTCAAGTAGTTGGGAGCCTCAGCGCTATCTGACTCTGTCAATCCGCCGGCTACTTGAGATGCATTATCGTAATCTGACTAGGAAATCTCATCTATTGGAGCAAGGCGCAGATGCCCCTCAAAAATATCGATCCGTATCGAAGGTCTGCATGACCTAGAAGATGTGATAAGTTGTCATCTGGAGGTACTTCATCAGTGCTATTATCGAAGAGCTCCTATATTCCATTTGGAAGGACTGCCGGCGCTGGATCAAACAACCCTACAAGCAAGCCTCAAACCCTAGATCGAGCCTCTTGTACATGCCAATAAATCCTGACAGGCGTGCATACTTGCTGGAAGGGCCATCAACACTACTGTTTGATTCAACTTGAGGTTGAGAAGGGTGCATGAGCACCCTAGGGGTTCACACGTCAACATCCCTATGCAAACGTCCCATCTTGGAGCGTGTGTGGCCTCCATCCAAATGTGGGATCACACCATCAAGTGCCTCACGGTCTTTATCATCTCGAGACCGTCGAGGAAACCTAGGGCTTCCCCTGCCTCCATCTAGATATGGTCGAGTCATCCTGGCTTCCCCGTCACAAGAACACTGTTGTGCAGTTTCGAATGGGCCACCGTCCGAGCAGGTACCTACAGTCCTGTTCTCCCACCAAGGTGAAGGTCGGCCTGACTTGATAATTTTTTCGATGAACGATTCTGCAAGAGCATTCTCTCGAATGCGCGGGGGCATTCTCTCACCGCCTGCTCCGGTGAGATGAGCAGGCGGCGACGGTGAAGGGGTGGCGACCCGATCACGCACTGTCGGGCAATGAATTTTCTGACGTGAGTGCGGACTGAGACTACGCAGTTGTAAGTTGTAAAGACGACCTGCTTGGAGCTCGCGTCCTTCTCTGGGGTGACGGGAACAACGAACATGTTGTGTTTTCCCCGATGACGTGAACTGTGCGACAATGATGGTGCCATGGAGTTGGAGAAGCAACTAGGTTGTGTGGCGGCTAAGTCACGAAAGCCTTCTTTTGGAAATATGTGGCTGGCTTGCATGAGTTTCTAGGGTTTTAAAAAGAAAACTCTAAGACCTCAACAATACTAAAATTTAAAACATAGCTCCAGGCTATTTAGAAATTAGAAGGAAGAGAAAGCTAACTTGGACTGATTGGACAGACCAAAATGCTAAGTCTTGAAGCCCTGGTAGAGTTGCAAATGAAGGTTTAATTTTTCATCCCGGGGGTTAATATGAGCATGTGAAGATCAAAGCCCATATTCGAAGATCACATACCCGAGGGACTGACCTTCCTTTGCTTTATTTTCGAGCACCAGTGTACTCTTTTTCCTTCACTAGGATTTTTTCTCATTGAATTTTTTCCTAGTAAAGTTTTAACAAAACACCCCCTCATCATGAACAAAGGAAGAGGTCTCCCCGGTCGGAACAATGAAGACCCCATGCTGCTAATTGGACAACCAAGACCCCAGGCTACTACCCATACGAGGAAGATCTTATCCACGCACAAGCAATGGGCCAAAGCGGGCAACTACGTGATTGGCCTTTTTGAGCAAACATAAGACCACCATTATCAAGTCAAACTTCTATGCAATCAGTCAGCCGGACCAACGAACAGGTCGATTTCAAAATAGCTCAACTATTTCCTTTTAGCTAAGACTACTAATTGACTAAGAGAACGAGGGGACTCATGTTGGGATAATGGGTCGGGTCCAGTACTATTGACCCTTTATGCCCCGAGCCTAGGCCTGGCTAGGCCTAGGACACAACCTGACTCGTGGAAATTGGCATGAAATTATTTATTTATTTATCGGGCCGGGTGACCCATTAGCAACATTGTACTAGTTATTAAATTGGGCCAAACCCACATAGCGTCGGTATTTAGACTTGTGGTAGATCTCTATAAATATGCCATCACCTCCATGTATTTGAGTACGTTATTTCTACTATACTCAAATGCTGCCGCTTAATTTCTCTCTCAAGCAGTCAAGCTATTTTCTATCAACATTTACATTTTTCCGTGCTTCTAGAATTTTGTAACATTAACTCCTACTGCTATTAATTATTTATTAGATAATGTGTACTCCCTCCGTATTCTATCGTTTGTCACAATAAAGGATGCCCCAATTTAATGAAAAAGTAGTAGCGACAATGAATAGTGTAAAAAGGTAAATCTAAGAGAGTGTGGAAAATATGAAAGAGAAGATGAAAAATATAAAAATAAGAATAATTGAATATTTTTAAAGGGAAAATTTATTTAAAAAGAAAAGTGTAGCAAAACTTAAAAACATGCCAAAAATGAAAGCGTAACAAACAAACGAATATGAAGGGAACATTGTATAACTCTGTGTTCTTTTTTCACTAACTTATACTATTGAATATTGTAATTCTATAAATGTTTGATGTTCTTGTTAATTAATATAAAAAACACTGCATTATTCTTGTAAATTTTGTTCCGTGCATCGCACAAGTGAGACTTTAGTTTATATAATATATTTCATGTTATAATATCAAAAGTGGAATTTAAAGCCCGTTTGATAACATTAAAATTGACTGAATCGGTTGAATCTGCTAAAATTAATGAGATTCTGACTGGAGTGGCTCAATTAGGTGAATATGCTGAACTATAAAAAATTACATTTGAAATATATCTTATTAATAAGATAAAATAAATATATGAAAATAACTTCAACCAATTTAATCAGGAAAGTAAAACCTTACTTATTTTGATTTTAGCTAATTCATTACTGGAGTATTTTTTGAGAGAAACATTACGGAGTATTAAAAAGTACAAAGTATTATATATTTTAAAATTGAAATAAATTTAAAACAAACTCCACAGTAGTTCTTTAATTTTGTAAACATGTACCACAATAGTTATATTTCTTATATTATTCGTAAATACACCATAAGGTTAATCACAATTCTATATCGTCGATAAAACAAATCTCCATTAGTTTATACGCAAATTTGGTATGCATTCCACCCATTAAGCTTTTCCCCAAAATCCTGCACCGTCAATATAATATATTCACCCAACACGGGTTTTTCAATTAAAGTATTACTTTTATATTTATAAACATGCCACTTTTTTACCTTTTTTGAATATTTATGTTTTAAAAAATCAAACATATTAATTTGAGAGAAGTTAATTTATTAGGAGATATTACGTATTAATTTATAATTATAACATCAATAATGATGTTTTTAATTGAACTAATATTTTCTGATATGATTTGGTCTGGTCTATTTAAGTATGATTTAGTCTAGACTTTTTCGAACTAGTCTGATGTATGTCTGATCTATGTCCTATTTGATCCGCCCTTGATATATACTACGTACTACCTTCATCCCGCTCAAAGATTCTCATCGTAAAATGACACGATTGTTTAGATAGTAATTAAATAAAAACATTCAAATATATTTTGAGAAATAGTTTTCATGAATGTATAATATAATGAGGTCATTTACGAGTGTTATGGACGCAAGGGCGGTAGCTAGGGGGCAACCCTGGCCCCGACCCATCCTACAAAATATATATATTTTTAGTGTAAAAAAATTTCGTGTAAATTTCTTTCCAAAAATATTCTTTGTACCGACCCAATGCCCTAGCTCAACTCCTGTAATAGATGTATTGTTTTTAATATTCAATGATTAACTTGTCATGTAGGAGTGTTAATTGTTTACTAAAATAGAAATGACAACATTTATATCGGACGTCCAAAAAAAGAAAAGTGAGAACATTTTAATGGGACGACGAGAGTAGTAATTGTGTGATGATAGTTAGGATTTGCAATCTTGATTATATTAGGCTTTGAGTATGTTTTGAATATATTTTCATTTTCAAAAACAAAGACAGAGGTGTAAAAAACTAGAGTGGTACGGTCAAAACATAAATTTAAGAATGTTGTAAAATAAAGAGCGACAATGTCTAATCTCCTAAAACAATTCAACTTTTTGTGTTGTCAAATACTCCACAAGAGATATGCTCAAAGCCTCAGGTAAAACAAATAAGGATGTTTTCAGTCCCAGATCAGATCAGATTAGACTTAAACAAATCAGATCAGATCAGACGTATACAGACCAGACTTGACTTGACTTCCATAGTTATAAAATATCTAGAGACCAGAAGTTTACCAAACCAGACCATACTTAAACAGTAAAGATGTTTTTAATTGGGCTATAATTTGTCCCAGACCAGATTAGTTCAGATCAGACCAAACCAGACTTGAATAATTATAAAAATATGAAGAGACCAGACATTACCAGACCAAACCAGGACAAATTAGTCCATTAATCATCAAAGATAGGCGCGCCAGCACATTTGGAGCCCCCTTTAATGAAGGACAAAAGTGTCACGCAGAAATGTCTGGGCGAGTTCAGTAAACTTCTGGGTGTATGAAGAGAACGCACTTGATTTTTACTTGCCCCGCCACTTCCATATCAGACCATCGTCATCTTCCCGGGCAGGGAACCCTAGTCAGCTCTCATGGCTGAACCCAGCTCCAAAAGGGCGAAAATCACCAGGTATGTCCGACATTACGCAAACCCAAAACAGTCGAATTCCATGTACGACCTATCTTGGATTTCAGGCTGCGCTTTGATCAGTTGATGGACGCACTCCGTTTTTATTTTACCTGAAACCATGCACAGAAAAATCAGTTTTTGTATTTTTTTTTCACGTTTTAGTGCCCACATTAATCAACAAACAAGGGTTTACTAGGCTTCACTAGCAGTTTAAAATGTGGAATTTATCTGGTTACTATTTTAGTATCCTTAGGCAGTATCTCCATTGTGGATTTGTGGTTTGATAAATGTTAAAAAGCAATTTGAATCCTCTCTAATGATAGCTTTACGTATTTGTTCCGTTTCTAATTTCGAAGATTGTACCTATCCAACCTTAGAGCACACTATCACTTCTCACTAGCTAAATAACTCTCCTAAGAATCAAAGTATTGTAAAAAGGGTTTCAATAGAGAATAGAGTGCCACAAGAAAATGATGGAACTAATAATGAGTATTTAATGCTTATATATAACACATGGTAAATGTATACATTTTAGTAATAAGCCTATCAGTTTTTTAAATCACGCCCCACCTTAAATTATCAAATTCTTTCTGGGAACTTGAAAGTGAATCACATTAATTGCTTCTTACCATGTGCCCGTGGGCACTCATTAGAAATACAACAACAACATCCAAACTTAGTCCCAAAAGATTTTGGGGTCCCCTAACACGAGTCGATACATGATAGGGGCCAAAAGGAAAAGGAAGATAAAAAGACAATGTATGATAAAAATGATACAAGAAAGATACAAATAAATATAATATAGAGAAAAATGATAAGATAAAAGATACAAAGAATATATATAAAATAAAAAATGATAAAGGATGACAAGAGATCAATCTGCCACATGAATATCCGCCCTCCACTTTGTTCTCTCCAAAGCCATACTCTCATCTAATCCAAGAAGAAAGGGCACCGGCACTCAATAGAAATAACCTTAATAAAAATACATTAGCTATATGTTACTGTATTAGACAGTGTGTGTTGCTCTGATAGTAAACAGTGCTTAATTTTAACAGTAATCCAATATGATTTAGTGGTGGTTGAATATGTCAAGAAGAGCGAAATAATGAATAAAAAATTATAAGTACAATAATTTGTCTTGAAGACTCAACAAATTTGGCTGCTGGAGTGGAACTAACTAAAACAGCTATTAACATCTCAGCATTGGAGTTGAAATGTTCAATACTAGCTATTCCACAGACTAGTTGAATTTGACAAAAGGTGTAAATAGCTAGCTAGCTCTACTATAGATGCTCTAATAGTGCTATTCATATTACACATGCTCGATTGCTCGTACATGCATAAGCGAACATATACATGAACTCTCCTCTTCATTGAACTGAACAGAATGTTTTGAAAAAGTTGATATCAAATTATATGTTGCATTTTCCCTTGAGATGGAAGAAGTGTTTAACTAATCACATGAACTATGTTTTGGAAATTATATGGGAAGACACTTTCTCAAATAATCTATATGAAGAGCATCAGTAGGTAATATTCATATCATCAGTGCTTTATTTAGTTACCTAGATGTGCAGGGGAGAAGATGACTATATGCCTGGGAACATTATGGAGATTGAGCTTCATAATTTCATGACATTTAGCCAGCTGAAGTGCAAACCTGGTTCAAGGTTAAACCTCGTAATTGGACCTAATGGCTCTGGTAAGAGCTCACTTGTTTGTGCAATTGCCCTTGGCCTTGGCGGGGAGCCTCAGGTGTGTGGGGAAAATAATTATTATTTATGTCATAAGTCTGTATTTGCATGATCACTAATCTGATTTCCTATATATATTTAGCTTTTGGGAAGAGCATCTAGTGTAGGAGCCTTTGTAAAGCGTGGAGAAGATACAGGGTATATTAAAATATCCTTGAGAGGGGATACTAAGGAGGAGACACTCAATATCATGCGGAAGATAGATGCCAAGAACAAGTCTGAATGGCTATTTAATGGTAAAGCTTATTCTGAAATTAATCGCATAAAAGAAGTCTTTCAACATACTTCTGAAAAGTTTTCAATTTATAGTTATGAGCTCCCTGAGGTAGCGTATTGAAAGATGATCAAAGCAGCTGATCAAAATTCATGAGCTTTCTTCATGAGTCTGTCTGAACCCACTGAAAAAGTTAGCATAATGCTTACAGTAGTTGACGCCTAGACCTTAAGTTAAAGCTTAGCTCATCCGAAGTGGGCCTTGAGCATCTATAGTTTCACCTTCTTATTTTGTACTTTGTCCATGATATTTATGTGTTATTATGGAAGAATACAGTCACTTTAGTAAGTTTAAATGTGAATGAATGATATAAGTTCGTTTGGATCTTCTTCTACTACTTTTTTGGTCTCCATTATTATATCCCAATTAATAAATTAGTGATGGCTGTCGTGTATTCTGTCTATTTAAAAATAATTCATCGTTCCATACTTCCCTGTGGTGTAAATATTTTGGTACATGTGTTGTTTTTCTTTTAGGAAAAGTTGTGCCAAAAAAGCATGTACTTGAAATCATTCAAAGGTTTAACATCCAAGTGAACAACTTGACTCAAGTAAGTTGTTTTGGCATCTTGACTTGGTGTTTTAATGACCAAAAGTATGTGTATGCCGAGTTGTTTAACTGCAAATTCTCCATCTGCACCTGCGTAATGTATCCTTCTTGTTAATAATTTATTTACATAGAAAAAGCATGTCTCTTTATTGCTATAAATTGTTTCACTATTTATGTTTTTCTCTTTGGTCCATTTTCTCAAAATAATATACAAAATATAGGTGTGTAAATATAAAGTTGATTTTCATGATCTTGAGGATATTAAATTGGTTGATAGAATTTGAGTGATGTTTCTGCTAATGATTTTGTCCTTTTCTTTTACTTCCCTACTATATAAATTAACTAATTTGATAAGTCTATGTTCCCTCTATACTCGCATTTTTCTTTTCATACCACATAGACCTATTGTTGATTAATACCCCGTATCTACTTTGGGCTCAAACAAATATGCACGTATGACCTGAATTCTGACATACATGATCAGGGAAGGAGCTCTCCCTATACTCTCTCTTGATTCCTCACCTGCAGTTTCTATAGCCTTTTAGGGGTTTTACTGCGTTGATTGATTCCACCCATGATCCATATTTGTAAAAGCTATTATTCATACATACGTTGATAGGAAAGCCATGTGCTACAGGGAAAGGGAAAAGAGACTGCATGGAGCGTGTGGTGGGTAGTTGCAGCTACAAAGCTGATTTTAATGATACATGTTCTTCACTATCCCAGTATCCCACATTCCCACCATGTTATCCATTTGGTCACAGCTTCCTATTTTCCAGCATTTTGATTATTGAAGAGGCTATAAATTCTTGTATTTGGCTTAGATTGGGTTGTCTATTTGCAGTTGGAGAGTGGTCCACTCCATGATGACTATTTATTGAAGAATTCTTCAAATTCTGCAATCTTCAACCTTCCTTTCTTATTTGAATATTTTTGAAGACTAAAAGATGTTTCATCAGCCATACATAGAATAAATAGCATAAATTAAATGGAGGTTTTGCTTTACTGTTAAGCTCCTTTTTGATATTGCTCCTTACCTAACTGTTTTTTCTTGTTGGACGACACCAGTTTCTGCCACAAGACAGGGTTTGTGAGTTTGCTAAATTGACTCCCATTCAACTCCTTGAAGAGACTGAAAAAGCTGTGGGTGATCCTAGGCTGCCTGTCATGCATAGTTCACTTGTCACTAAGAGTGAGGAACTGAAGAAACTTGAGCGAGTGAGTTATATCTGAGCATCTTCACTTCATTCTCATATTAGGGTTTTATTCAAATATGTTTGCTGTGTTTAATGAGGTGCTTCTAAGCCTTGAGACGTTTTGCAATAATGAAATAAGCCTCACGCATGATACATGAAAAACTTCCATACATTTCAGAATTACCAACAATCTTAAAGTCTAAACATATTATAAATCATGAATAAAAGTGAGTCGTAATTGAATTACATAGGTGATAGGCCACTTTCATAAATTTAACTCTAAAGAAAAGTATTTAAGAATATTTTTCCTAAACAGTCAGAAGAAGTTCTTAAATGATAAAAATAAGGAAGAAATGGATGGAGTCCGAAAACTTTGATATTGTGGTGCAATTTGAATAAACAGAGGTTACTTCTATTATTTTTCATGTAAAAAATTTAGCTGGAACTGTTTCAGTTATTTGAACTCCGCTGGAGAAGAAAAAGAGAACAATGTAGGTTATGTGAAATTTATAAATAGAGCTTTATGACGATAGTTATTGATTTTGGAAAATAGATTCTAGGATTTTGTTTGGCTTAGTCACTAATTAATGGAAAATAATAGATCCAATATGAATTTTAATTAAAATAACTACTCTGAGAAAATACTTAAAAATTGAAAGTAAAAACATTAGGCTTAAGTCTTAAAAAGCAGCTCAACCATACTGAGGTTTAAGCCCTCTTGAGGCTTAAGCTTCAAGGTTTTTTTTCATCGCCTTCCTTTGCGCTGAGCCTCGAAGAAGCCTATTTAAACCATGCATGCCTGTTACTCCTGATTTGTGTATTTTTGCATGAATAGAACTCAAGTGCAGAAATCTTTGCCTATTACAGACCATACAGAGTGGCAAAGAAACTTTAGATCAACTGAAGCAAGCCAATGCTGAAATTGAAGGTGATGTTGAACGCTTCCGTCAGAGGGATCAACTCCTATCAAAGGTTCGTGTAATATATATATATATATATATATATATATAAGCTCAAATGAGAACAATTCTTAACATGAGAATGATGTGAAGTGCACTTTTAACCCAATGTGATGCACTATAAAGGTTGTATCTTGCACTCTTTTTCGTGTTGAGGGAATATTTACGGAGTTGCCACCAAATTTATGTGATGTTGGCATGTTTCGACTAAAGTTAAAAATGCAACAGATTAGCTTCATAGTATCAAATTGCCCAAAAGCCCAAAAGTGTCTATTCTCAAGTTAAGCATTGTCCTCATTGGAATCACATCGTATATATGTGTGTATAGTGTGTGTATAAATGTACATATTACACACGGGGGGATGTTCTTTTGAGAACTCCTCTTATAATGAGAATTGAGAATTTCTTGTTATGAGAACTTTGAATCTCAACCTTTCATTTTTTCTGATCCATAAATGGTTAATCCACATATGGTGCAATTATTGTTAAATAATTACAATTATTATACCTGTTTTTGAATCTCAACCTTTTATTGTTTTGCTAATCAATGGTTAATTCAAATGGGGCTATTTTGCAAGTATTCTTAAATAATTACTATCTTCGTCCCATTTTATGTGTCCTACTTTGGTTTGGCACAATTATTAATAAAGTGTTTGAAAAAGTAAAAGTTGTAGTTGAGATTTGAGTATAATAAAGTGAAATGATGTAGACCACATACTACGTATTTCTTTTCAAAAAAGGAAATGTGACACTTATTTTGGGACAACCTAAAAAGGAAAGTAGGATATGTAAAATGGGACCAAAGGAGTACAAAAATTCGACCTTGTCAACATTAGCCATTGATTATAAAAAAAGGCGATGATTAGAAGTTCTCATTCTAAGAACCTTTCCTTATACACACACATATGAAGGGGAATTGACTTTGCATCCCACTTTCAAAAAAATTAATGTTAGCACCTCATCAGTTCATTTTTTTTGAAGGAATGGGGTGTAAACATGATTTATTTTAAACTGATGGGGTGCACACATTAAATATTACAACGTATGAAATTGGGGTACAAAGCCCAATTACGTTAAAAAGTACAGTGCAAAGTCAATTGCCCGCACACACGCATATGCATATATTGTTACTACTATGCACAGCTTAAATGACTGTGCCTACTTTGTATAGGCTGAGCAGATGAAGATGAAATTGCCATGGCTGCAATATGACATAAAAAGAGCTGCATTTCGTGAAGCTAAAGATCGAGAGAAAGATGCTAAGGAAAAGCTGGATGATGCAGCTAAGACTTTGCATGAACTTATGGAACCTATTGAGTGAGGCAGTCTGCTCATCTTGATACGCACTACCGTGTCTTTGAAATTGCTATATTCTAATTGCACATTTGCACTTTTCAAATTATCTGATGGTTGAACCTGAATCAGGAGGCAACATTAATTGTTAGTTACTCCCTCCGTCCCTGTATTATCTTCAAACTTTCCTTTTTCGTCCGTCCCAATATTATCTCCTCTTTCCCTTTTGGCAAAGAATTTGTGGTTCACAACCATCCTTACACAATATATCTCTCCTCTGCACAACTCTCCACCACACAAATCCTACTATCTTAATTAGTGTGCCCAGTCAAAGGTGGAGTTTTAATAGGGATGGAGGGAGTATAAATTTGCTAATCAAACCAGACCACCCACACAAGAAAATTGAAATTATCTTGCCTAGAGGCTAGATTGAGTTTCTCCTTTGTTTTGCTCAGAGAAATTGGTTGCAGACACTCCATATTTGACATGTTTCCTGATTTCTTGATTTTTTGGCCACCGATGTTTTAGCTAGATGTATAGTTTTGATATTTTAATATATGTTGCTGCTTGATTGTCAATATTTGTAACCTGACTACTGGGTTTCAGGAGGAAGAAAAAAGAGAGAACTGCACAGGATGGTAAATGTAAGAAACTTTCTAATCTTTTGGACAACAATGCTGAAAAGCGCATGAACATACTGGATCGTGATGAACTTTTGGTATTTTGTCTAGAATTTATTTAATGCATACCTCTATATGTTTATTCTTGCTAGAGTGAAACTAAGCCAACATTTCTATAATATAATTCTCAGAGTTCACAGATACACAGGAAACATAAAGAAATGGAAGATTTAAGGAAGCAGGAAGAATCTCGTCAAGAACAGCTTTCTAAAGCTCTAAGCGATCTCAGAGATGCTGAATTAGATCTCTCAAACTTTTCTACTTCTGGACCTCCCAAAGACCAACTGGTAGGCTTTAATCCTTCATGCAATTAGACCTTGAAGATTCCTGAGTTTTAGTTTTCCTTATTTGTTTACTTTATTTAGCATGGAGGGGTAGTATTGTAATTATCAGAACTATTAGGGCTGAGTCACTGCTACCTGTATTATTATTTATATCCTGTTCCTTCTGTTTGATTGGATAAGAAATGAATGACAAATAATAAAGTTGAGAGCTTCTCTCTCTATCTCTCTTATCCTCTCCTATCTACAAGAGATAAACAGAACTCTTGATGGTATCAGAGCAGCACTAGATCCTGCTCTAAATCGAGTATCATTCTTCAACGGGCTGGTCAGGTCTCTTCTGAATCAGTGATTTCCCTGGTGGGTTCATTCCAAATCAATTTTCTCTCTCTCTCTTTTTTCCCCTGCTTTTACTGGGTTCTTCCACTACTCTCTCATCATGAATGCTTCAATCAAATTCGGTAATGTACCTATTGCCCTAGTCAGTGATGATGTTAGTTCCAACACATCACTCGAAAACTCATCTCAAATCCAACCAACCATTAATCTCGATTACAGCTCTTTGCCCACTGCATATAAGCTGAATGGCCAGAACTACAACCTTTGGTCTCACTCTGTTTCAATCTTCATCGGAGGGAAAGGTAAAGAAGAATACCTGTCCATTGATCTGGTCCAACCGGAAGTTAAAAGCCCAGGTTACAAAAATTGGAAAGCAGAGAACAATATGGTTATGTCATGGCTCTTGAATTCTATGACTCCGGAAATAGGTGAACAATTTATGTTTTACAAGACAGCATCAGAAATTTGGGAGGCAGCTCGAGATACATTCTCAAATCAAGACAACACTTCAGCCATATTTGAAATCAAAGGGATTCTTCATGATCTCCGTCAAGGAGAGTTGACTGTGACGAGCTATTTTACGGCACTGAACCGTTATTGGCAGCAACTCGATGTCCTGGATGCCATTACCTGGAACTGCCCACTAGATGGGAAACAGTACAAGCGGTTGGTGGAAACGGAAAGGATTTATAAATTTCTTCTTGGACTCAACCAAGAACTTGACGAGGTCCGAGGAAGAATTCTCGGTACTAAACCTATGCCTAGCCTCAGAGAAGTTTTTTCAGAAGTTCGTCGTGAAGAAAGTCGAAGAAGGGTTATGCTTGGAAATACTGGCAGTATTACGAATGAGGGATCGGCTCTTGCAACTCGTGCTCCATCTAGTATGAAATTTTCTGTGGCCTCTGGAATATCTCAAAGGAAAAATGGTCGACCCTGGTGTGATCATTGCAAACGACCTGGTCACACCAAAGAAACCTGCTGGAAAATTCATGGAAAACCATCTGACTGGAAACCTAATGCTCGTGTAAATGTAGCAACTAGTGACATCCAGGAGGTTTTTAGCAAGGAACAGATACAAGCTCTTCAGAAGATGTTGCAAATCACACCCCATGAAGACAAAAAGATTGCAGTTGTTGCCCAACAAAGTGGAGTTTCATCTGCATTTGTAACAAGTGCATCTGGTGAAAAACCTTGGGTTGTTGATTGTGGTGCTACTGACCACATGACCGGGGATATGAATATACTTTCTGAATTCCAACCTGTACCGAATGGAAGAACCATACGAGTTGCTACTGGAGAAGGCGCACAAGTGGCGGGCATTGGTACAGTTGTCATATCCAAGAATATAACACTGAAATCTGTGTTATATGTTCCCAATCTCGATTTCAATTTGTTAGCTCCTATTAAACTAATGAAGGATCTAAATTGCATTACTATCTTAACCCCATCTACATGCATGTTTCAGGCCTTGAGTTCGGGGAAGATGATTGGCAGTGCTAAAGTATGTGATGAGCTCTACCACATGGAAGTCGAGCATTCGGGAAAACGTCAAGTTTCATCGTTATTTCATGTTTCTAGTAAAAATAATGTGATGTTATGGCATCATAGGTTGGGTCATCCAAACTTTCATTACTTAAAAAAGTTGTTTCCTCATTTATTGAATAAAAGCCCGAATGATTACAATTGTGAAGTGTGTCAATTATCCAAGCATGTTAGACATTCTTATACTCCACTCCCATATAAATCCTCTCATCCATTCTATTTAATTCATAGTGATGTTTGGGGGCCCTCCAGAGTGAAAAATATTTCTGGTGCGAGGTGGTTTGTTACTTTTATAGATGACCATACTCGTGTTACTTGGGTCTTTCTGATGAAGGACAAATCTGAAGTTGGGTTAATTTTCCAGCGTTTTCATCAAATGATTCAAAACCAATTTGCAACAAAAATTCAAGTTCTCAAATCTGATAATGCAAAGGAATACTTTCACTCTGAGTTGGGAAACTACCTTACTCAGCAGGGAATTGTCCATCTCACATCCTGTGTTGACACCCCGCAACAAAACGGTGTTGCAGAAAGGAAAAACAGACATCTGCTAGAGGTAACACGTTCGTTGCTATTATCTAGTTATGTTCCAAATCATTTTTGGGGAGTAGTTGTGTTAACTGCCGCATACCTTATCAATAGGATGCCTTCCCGAGTCATTGACTTCAAAACTCCACACCAATTTCTACAGTCTAACTTCCCTCACATTCGAATTTTGTCCCAATTACAACTGAAAATATTTGGTTGCACCTCATTCGTTCATAATCATCAGCCAAATCGTAGCAAACTAGATCCCAGGTCATTCAAATGTGTCTTTCTGGGATATTCCCAGCGTGGTTATAAGTGCTACTCTCCTTCCACCAGGAAATTCTACCATTCCATGGATGTCACATTCTTTGAAGATAAACCTTATTATTCCAAAACTGAAATCCAGGAGGAGAACTGTGTGGAATATCAATTTTTGGACTATCCTACCTTATTCCCTTCCGATCCGAGTCACCATGCGGATATTCCTAATCCATTAGGGATACCGGTTGGAGTTGAATCTAACAGTCCAAATCCGAGTGGCCCTGAATTTGTTCCAAACCCATCAGTCGATGTATACTTAAATAAAGATGTCCAAAAAGATGACATTGTCTACACCCGGCGCCCGAGACAACAAAACGAGGTGGAAAAGCAAGTCACTACTGAAGCACATAGCCATGAACTCTTCTCGGATTCACCAGGTAATACTCAACCCAAAGATTCCAGTCCTTATATTTCCCCTGATGATTCAGGCGATTTAAATATTCCAGTTGCATTACGTAAAGGGAAGAGAAGTTGTACCATGCATCCAATCAGTAACTTTGTTTCATATGGCAAACTCTCACCCGAATACAAAGCATTTGCTCTTTCAGTTTCAGAAATTAAAGTTCCTAAAAACCTTCAAGAAGCGATCACAAAAAGGGAATGGGCAAATGCTGTGCAAGAAGAAGTCAATGCTCTTCGGAAAAGCAAAACTTGGGAATACACTAACCTTCCACCAGGAAAGAAAACTGTGGGGTGTAAATGGGTGTTTGCTGTCAAATACAACTCTGATGGAAGTGTAAGTCGGTTTAAAGCAAGGCTGGTCGCTAAAGGATTTACACAGTCCTACGGGATCGACTACTCAGAAACTTTTGCACCTGTAGCAAAACTAAATTCCATTCGAGTATTACTGTCCCTTGCTGTAAACCTTGACTGGCCGTTGCATCAACTCGATGTGAAGAACACATTCTTAAATGGGGAACTAGAGGAAGAAGTTTACATGGATGTTCCACCGGGGATGGAGTCTCAAGAAAACAAAGGAATGGTGTGCAGGCTTAGAAAATCCCTATACGGTTTGAAGCAATCACCACGAGCATGGTTTGAAAAGCTGACACAGGTGGTCAAGCAATACGGATTCATTCAAGGGCAAACCGATCACACGATGTTCACAAAACACTCCCATGGTGGACGAGTTGCAATTATGATTGTCTATGTGGACGATATCATTATAACGGGAGACTACTCAGAGCAGATTAAAGATCTCAAACTCGTCTTGGGAAGACAATTTGAAATAAAAGATCTTGGTCAACTCAAATATTTCCTTGGTATGGAAATTGCAAGGTCTAGAAAGGGCATCTCTGTATCACAAAGGAAATATACTCTTGATCTCTTGAAAGAGACTGGGTTATTGGGTTGCAAACCAGCAAGTGTGCCAATGGAACCAGGAATAAAATTTCGAACAGAAACCAAAGATGAGCTAGTAGACAAGGGAAGATATCAAAGACTTGTGGGCAAGTTAATCTACCTCGCACACACAAGACCCGATATCGGGTTTGCTGTTGGTATGGTGAGCAGGTTCATGAACACTCCCACAGTTCGCCATATGGAAGCAGTATTTCAGATTCTGCACTACTTAAAGAAAAACCCAGGATATGGGCTCTGCTTCAAAAAATCCAGTGAAAGAGGAGTAACCATTTACACAGATGCAGATTGGGGAGGATCTTGTGTGGATGGAAGGTCCACCACAGGCTATTGCACTTTTGTGTGGGGTAATCTGGTCACTTGGCGTAGTAAGAAGCAATCTGTGGTGGCTAGAAGTAGTGCTGAGGCTGAATTCCGTGCAATGTGTCAAGGAATATGTGAAGGGATATGGTTAGGAAGAATGCTGAAAGAACTAAACATTCAGAATAACAGAAAGATGATGTTATTCTGTGACAATAAAGCGTCAATTGAAATTGCGAGAAACCCAGTTCATCATGATCGCACTAAACATGTGGAGATTGATCGACACTTTATAAGAGAAAAGTTAGAATCTGGAATTCTAGAGCTATCGCATATTCCAACAGACTTTCAAGTTGCCGACATTCTCACCAAGGCCCTTCCAAAGAACAAATTCGAAAATATGAAGAGCAAGCTGGATATGATTGATATCCATATCCAACTTGAGGGGGAGTGAAGATTCCTGAGTTTTAGTTTTCCTTATTTGTTTACTTTATTTAGCATGGAGGGGTAGTATTGTAATTATCAGAACTATTAGGGCTGAGTCACTGCTACCTGTATTATTATTTATATCCTGTTCCTTCTGTTTGATTGGATAAGAAATGAATGACAAATAATAAAGTTGAGAGCTTCTCTCTCTATCTCTCTTATCCTCTCCTATCTACAAGAGATAAACAGAACTCTTGAGACCTTATATATAATATACATGATTGGTTTACTTTGTAATGATATGGAGTACTTTCATGGATACTCCTCTATTGATTGTTAATTTCTTTCTTGTATATCTTCGCTTGCCATATTTTCATTGCTGAAGTTAATATTGATCAGGAAGGCTTGCGCACAAAAATTCTTGAACTGCAAGATGCTGCAAGAGAACTGAGGTCTCATAAATCAGAAACAGAGAGATCCCTAGAACGGAATAGGGCTGCCTCAAGGCAGTTTGCAGAAAAGTAGTCTTGTTTGTATTATATTTATATTATATTTATTTACATGTATATTATTATTTTTGTTATTTGCATTGGTTGAATGCTCCTAAAATACTCTGAATGCAACTCTTTATAGGTTGACTGAAATGGAGAACACAAACAACAAGCGCTTACGTGCATTGCAGAGCTCTGGTACTGATAAGATTTTTGAGGCTCATCGTTGGGTGAAGGAACATCGTGATCAATTCAAAAAGGATGTTTATGGACCAGTTTTGGTAGAGGTATGTAGTACTATTTTTTCGTTTCTTTGGTATACTGAGCCTCAGTTAGTCGTTCATAGTTTTTTCCTTGCTAATGATTTTTGGGGATCAAAATTCAACTATAGGTTAACATTGCAAACACTACCCATGCGAATTATCTCGAGGGTCATATTCCATTTTATGCCTGGAAGGTATGCTCAGCTCAAGCTTTTATCGCTCTTTAGCCTTGATTTCAGTTATCTTCTCTATATAAATGAAGTTCTTTATTTCTTCTATAGCCAGATGTTCAGTAGGTATAAGTTGTAGAAAATGGACATTTAAGTTGACAGCTTTCAGTTATAACATGTGTCAACATTCACCGACCTTATGCATCTGTCCTATGGATTGTTTCTTATGTTTGTTTGCTTTCTTGTATTTGCATATATTACCACATGCAGGCATTTATTACACAAGATTCTGCTGACCGTGACTTATTGGTTAGAAACCTCAAGTTATACGATGTCCCAATCTTAAACTATACAGGGGCTGATGGTCGCAATAGAGCGCCTTTTCTATTAACTGAGGAGGCAAGTATCTGCTGTTTTGAGTATAAATTGCTTTTGAGCTTATACGATCCTCAACTCAAAAAATAAAATTATGTATAAATTTGATAGAAGATGCTTATAAAAGCATAGCCTGACTCAACACCATGTCACTATGAAGAGAAAGTCATAAAAAATGTAAAGAAGAGGAAATAATCCTCTTTTTTCGAGCAACAACACTCATTAACTTCGCTACTTTTAAATATAATATGCAGATGCGTAAGCTAGGCATCTATTCAAGGCTTGATCAAATATTTGATGCTCCAGTTGCTGTCAAAGAAGTTCTGATAAGCCAATTTGGGCTGGAACATTCGGTTCGCACACTACTTTAGTCTTCCTTTATGGAAAATAACCTTATGCAGAAGAAAATTATGAATGTGCACACACATTTTTTCCTCTTCTCAGTATATAGGATCCAGAGAGACTGATAAAAAAGCTGATCAAATATCACGATTAGGACTTTCTGATTTCTGGACACCAGAGAGCCATTACCGATGGATAAAATCAAGATACGGTCCCAATGTTTCCGCAAGTGTGGAACCTGTTAAACAATCACGTCTTCTTCTCTCCAGTAACTCTTTTGCCATTTTTTTTATAGCGATACATATTTCCATGAGTTGCTTCCATGTACCAAACTATTTTGATCTTTTTAGATATGGAAGCTGGAGAGGTCGACAAGCTTCAGACCCAGAAAAGAGAGCTGGATGAAGTTGCCCATTCTTTGGAAGAGAAGTTAGGGATGTTAAAGGTTGAGCTAAGAAACATAGAAAATGAAGGAGCTCAACTTGAAAAGCAACGTGTATGTAAAATTCTTTTCTTCTTATATTGGTAGGTGTTCCCATTGATTTTCTCAAGAATTGAGCAACTAACACGGAGAATTGAATGCACATACATTAATTGGACATTAAATGCATGGCCTTCATGGATCTCTTTCCTATCTAGCACGGTGCAGGGATATAAAAACAGGGATCTCTTTCCTATCTAGCACAGTACGGGGATATAAGAACAAGGAAAACATCATTCCTTAAAAATAGGGGACATGGACAGGAATATGTGGATTTATTTCTAAATAGTAAAAATATAAGGACTTCACGGATATTTTAAAGTGTACAGTAAAATTCTAAATGCAAATATAATAATTGTATAAATAAGTATTATAACTAAGTATTACATTTGAATAGCTATTGACTTTAAAGATACAAATACTTGATTATTATCTATTGCCGACCCCAAACTCTTTTAAAAATAATGCTTGGATGCTGTTGTATTTGATTATTATCTATTACAATACTTGTGGTAACTGCGGCTTAGTGCCAGAAATATCATATGTCTTTTATCTAAGCAGTGGACTGGCAGTGGAAGATTTAAAAGGGATACATAGGTTGTAGGAGTGTACTGGGGTTTTAGTGCTTAACTAGATTTGTCATATTTATTTTGTTATCTACTCTTTCCCGGGAAATTTCATTAATAACGAGTTTGTTTGTCGAAACGGGGCTCTTTTTGAAACTTCGGGTCACAAATTATTTTTGAAAAATAATGACATTTTTTTACAGAAGTACTTTGTCTTTTTCTCTATATCTGGGTCATTATCATATTATATTTGGTATTTATTATTACTGTTCCACATGTTGGGGTTTTTAGTTTCAAATTTTCAATACTTTTATTTGCAGACCTCTATATTTCAAATGTTATAATATTTTACATTAAGTAACCTTTAAAGTTTATTTTCTTTAGGAGGAGCTTATTAATGCCTCACGTCTGGAGAGGAGGAAAAAAACAGAATTGGAAAAACGTGTTGGTATATATTTTACTATATTTTTTGTGAAATACTCTGTTTTATTTGGTTCTGAATTTGTCATTTTTCTCTTGACAAGTTGTCATTCAAAAAACATATTAATCCAACTGTAGATCAGCGGAAGTTGAAATTACAATCTTTGGAACAAGAGAGTGACTTGGATAGCATCATTGCTAATTCTAGTAAACAGGTTACAGAACTGAAGGTTCAGCGATTCAAGTGTGCAGTTCAACTCAAGGTGAGTTTACCACTCATTGCCCTGCTCGTAGTGTCATAATGAATATATGCCTGGTAAATATACATTCCTTTATTTTTTTTAGACGCTACTCACCGAAGCTGCTGTTAATCGAAGAGTTTATGCTGAACAAAGCATGGCCTTGCTTGAGATTGAATTTAAGGTATCCTTTTGTTAACGATATAAATGAGTTATCCTTACTGGGGTGTTAAATTGTATTTATCAATGTACATAGGTTTTGATTAGATTTCAATTTACTTGTTTGAAATACTGGTTTTGTTACTGACCTGACATCTACTTCTCAAACAGTGTACTTTTTTCGATTCTTAGCACATTGGATTTTAATTGCTTCACATGTTGCAACATCTGGATTAGATTGAAAGTTTGAAACCCATCTGCTTGTTTTGTTACTGACTCTTACCTGTGGGAGTTTTTTCTCCCTAGATTAAAGAGATGGAATCAAAAGTGAAGCATCAGGAAAAGTTCGCTGAGCAAGCTGCTTTGCATTATGATCACTGTAAGTTCATACTATCCAGTATGCACCTTTTGTACTTAAGAAAACATGCTTTAGATATTTTATGGTCTTTGTTGTAACGGATTTTTCTTCTTTTTATTTTGAGATTGGTTTGCCATGGAATTATTTCCCTCATGTAATCAAGCTATCTCTTCTTTGGTAGAAAACTGGCTCATGAGCATTCAGCATTACCCAGGTGTTATTATTTGAAGCCTTAGATCTAAAGGTTGTGTACCCCCAGTTAGAAAATAGTTATCATTAGAAGCCTTAGATCTAATAGTTAGAAACTAGGAAAAAAGTCATCCTAGAGTTATATAAGTGATATATTGCTTTTGTAGTTGTGGCTTGGTATTAGATGTTTTTTATTATTTACACATTTAGGGGTCCTACGTTCCTACCTTTGTTGTGAGTTGTGACATCAGATTCCATCTTGTTTGAAAGTTGAGGTTTGTTCATAAATAATACAAAAAAATACCATGGACAAATATATGACCGATTTCAAAAAGTTCCAAAAATGAGACTAAACTACTTAACTACTACCGGTGACCATGACCAATCCGACCAGTGATCAACCCAACTACTGACCATGACCAATCCGACCAGTGACCAACCTGACCAGTGACCATGACCAATCTGACCAGCGACCAACCCGACCAACGACCGTGACCACCCTGACCATGACCAACTTGACCAGTGATCAACCCGACCAATGACCATGACCAATCCGACCAGTGACCAACACGGCCATTGACTAACCCAGCCAGTGACCTCCACTGCCTGGGAAGTGACCTCCGCCACCCTGCTTCCCAGTGACCACCCCTGCCCCGGGCCCCGACCACCACCCAGCCCAGTGACTGCACCCCACCCGCGCCCTTCTCAGCCCCCTCCCCTTCCCCAGCCCCCTCCACATCCCCCATCCCCAGCACCTTTCGCAGCCCCCTCCGCTCCAACCCTAGCCACCATCGCTACTCTGGATCTGGGCCATCATCGCCAGTCGTCATCATCGTCCGTCGTTCTCGTCGCCTGTTTCCAGTCATCATGGCTAGTAGCAAATCCTCTTCGCCTGTCTCAGATAGTCGGCCGTCGCGAGATGCTCTAGATCAAGCGATGGAGAAGATGGCGGATCATCGCCATTCCAGAAAAGAAACGAGGAAGATGAGAGGATCTGCAGCATCCGAGCGGGGTGCAACGACAAGGGCAGCAACGGAGGTGGCAGTGCAGTTGCTTGGCGATGGCGGTCTGAAATGGACGACAACGGAAGAGAGACCCAGATGGTCTGTCCTTGGTTGCCTTGGTCCGTAGCCTTGGTCTCTTTTTTTCCTTCACAAAAATGGTCCTATTTTTGTCTAGTCAAAAGTCCCAACTCCTATTTTTGATATTATATCTTGAAAGTTTGCAAACTCAGGCTTTCCTTTTTTTCATGATCAGGCAAAAAGGAAACGGAGGATCGCTATGATCAAGCGGAAGCTGCTAAGAGGCATGCTCAATCCATCACATTGATAACTCCAGAATTGGAACAAGCGTTCCTTGAGGTGTGCATATAATTTCAAACCAACTTTTGGATCGCCATAGTGCTGTGTTTATCATCAAAATATTGTATTTGGATTCTTACTTTGGTTGTTAAAACAATTTAAATATTTCAAGATTAATGAAGCAGTAGTTGTAATTGTTTTATCATTGTTGCCTAAACTCTACGTTTTTGTAAATTTATAATTATATATTGACGGGATTTTCACCATGGGTCATCCAGAAACAGTCTCTCCCTGCTTTAGTACAGGGGTAAGCTGCGTACATCCGATCCCCTCACCCCACCGTAGGTTGGAGCCTATGCGGTACTGGGGCAATGATGATGATGAATAATTACTCTATATATGCTATTTACTGCTCCAGATCTCACTGGTTTGTCCCTTGAGCATTTTTAGATAACATCTTAATTATTAATTTTTTAAGCTATTTAGAACTAATATCCATAGGTGAATTAGAGTCTGATCTATTGTTGAAGTTCAAACAAAGTTGACTCAGTGGGGATGTATTGTTGTTTTTTAAAGATTATTTTTTTGGTGCAAGTTTATTTTGTTCGCTGTTTCTATTCTAGTTAGAATAAGCAACTCTCTATTTTACTCCTTATTCTGGTTTTCCGAGCTGTATAGCTCATCATAGTGTAATGTTCTGTAATTTGCAGTCATGTACATTCATTAACACTTCAATGTTTTTTGCTGCTAATGCTTTATTCAGATGCCTTCCACCATTGAAGAATTGGAAGCTGCTATACAAGATACTATTTATCAAGCCAATTCTATCCTTTGTCTTAACCCAAATGCCCTAGAACAATATGAGACTCGCCAGAAAAAAGTAATTCCTATAGCATGTTAAACTGTTGTGATGATATTATCAATCTATTTTTTGCTGCAGGCATTATCTGATTCAATGTATTTTCTTTATGCAGATTGAATCCCTTTCAAAAAAATATGAAATGGATGAAAATGAATTGAGTTGTAATTTAAATGATATTAATACTCTAAAGGTGAGAAGTATAGTTGCTGTTGGATGGAGTATTCTTTGTTTGCATAAATTTGCTTGCTAATTTCACCTTTAGCAATTCACTTCCATTATTCCTTTACGTGTTGATGATTCAGTTGGACTAGGCACATGAGATGTGGAGTTTCACATATTATATTTCAGCGCATGGTTTCCTCTGCCTTGCACATACTCAATATTAATATTATTTTGACATTATTGAAATATAATTTTGGTTCATGGAAAGTTGTGAGTATTTAAGAATAAAAGAGCACAACCCTTCTCCCCCCATTTTCTTTGTATTTACTTTCATGTTGTCAGGAGATAGTGGCGTTTGACAGTGCAATTTTTTTTGGCAGTGCCTTTTTTTCTGGTTTCATTAGCATATTTGAATATTGTTTCACTATGGTTTATAGCCCTATTATAGACTTGATGGTGTAAAAGCACATAATGATTTCATAACATCTGCAGGAAAGTTGGCTTCCAAGATTGAGAAACCTTGTCTCACAGATAAATGACACTTTCAGTCGCAATTTTAGAGAAATGGCTGTTGCTGGAGAGGTTTCATTGGGTAATTTTCACTCCAACTCTGAAAAGCTGTTTTATTTTATTTTTTAAAAATGTACATAAGTTCTTAAACTGATCTCTCTCTCTCTCTCCAGATGAACATGATATGGACTTCGATAAATATGGGGTTCTAATTAGAGTGCAATTCAGGTACTTGCATAACTGTTTGATTTTTAGCTCTGATTCAACAGTAATGCTTGGAAGTAAGCCTTGGCAGTGGTGTTTCTGTCTGTCTGACAGGTCGCTTGCTCAAGTCTTTAGAGTTATCTCCTGTCAAAATGGACAAGGAAAGACTTGCTCATATACACCCTTGCCTTGCAGGGATGCCAATGTGCACCGGGCAGTCCTTTATGCAACATTAATGCCTCCCTAATTTCTTTTGGGACTAAGGCTTGGATGTTGTTGGTTTATTCAACATTAATGCCTGCAGAATATGTGATTAGTTAATACTGTTGATTAGTAATCTAGGCTTAACCGCGGTGTTGTTAACTTGCATTGATGTAGTTACATTTTGAGAATGACAAAAAATTGTTCAATTGATCCTAGTTGGCTAGTTTTGTGAGCATAACTTGAACTAAGGGTGCGCTTTGGAATTTAAAAGATGGTGGCCCGATGTACATCGAAGAAGCAGCAATTGCCAGCAAGACAATTTAACAATCCAGTATATTTGAGCAATTGATGATTAAATAGTAACATCATATTTCTATTTTATACTAAGCTAGATGAAGTGAGAGATGCAATAAATCAAACAATCAAACCTAAAATCTTTAATTCATAGTGATTCATAAACTAAAAGAATATGGACCACGCCCCCCTGACTAGGAAAATTTCCTTCGAATAGTGCAAAAGTAGTTCTTAGATTTGCTAAAAGGCTGTAATAGTTCACAAGAACTAAGTGCTTTCCGCTCAACAACATAGAATTCAGTGATAAGCTGTCAATGAACTATGCCAATGACTCTAAATGTAAAAAAACTGGCAAATGTTTGAATGCTGTTCAGCACTTCAGCGCTTGCATGTTGAACATTTGACCAATGGCCCGTCAACCAGCCAGGAGCACTAACTGTCAGTTTGGATGGAGGGTTTTGAAAGATTATGTCTCTATCTTGATATATTTATGATACTTTATTGAAACTGAAGAAATAACTTAATAGGAAAGGCTCTATTAGACATATGTAAAGAAATAAATATCCATCAAATCTTGTGCAGAGTAACATGACTTTTGCTTTTTCAAAAAGTATTTAATTTTAAAAGTATTAAAACCTACTTCCTACTTCAGTACTTCCTACCCATCCTAACTGTCAGTTTCTAATCTCCTCTTAGTCTTGCTTTTGTTTGTTTGGTTATTTGTTTTTCTTTGGCCTCTTATTTACATGTGTCATATTTCCTTTTTAATGCGATGTTTTCTGTTTCATCAGGGAAACTGGACAGCTTCAAATTCTTAGTGCTCACCACCAGTCTGGAGGAGTATGTCTGTCAAACAGTTGAAATGTTATGTTTAAGGTGCTTTGATAATTTGCTTGAGCTAATCATGTGCTTTATTTTAGGAGCGTTCTGTTTCAACTATTCTTTACCTTGTTTCTCTTCAAGACCTAACTACTTGCCCTTTTAGAGTTGTTGACGAAATAAATCAAGGTCAGCATCTGAAAGTCATTTTGATTATTAAGTATGTGACTCAATAATCAAGTACAATTGTTAGCTATCATTGTGCCTTTTTTCATTCGTAAAGGAATGGATCCGATTAATGAAAGGAAAATGTTCCAGCAATTAGTCAGAGCAGCCAGTCAACCCAATACACCACAGTACGTAAATGCTACTCTATGTCTCTATTTGTCAACAGTTTTCAAGCATTTTAGTTTACCTCTAAATGCAGCTTATACTTTTGAAACAGTTTACTTGTTGGGAATAAAAAAATTCCAGTAGCTAAAGAAATCACACGTTTTACTAAGCGGAGTATATCACCGTGTGAGATATTTTCCAAAATAATTATTAATCATTTTTATAATAGAAATGTAAAAACTAAGGTCCACTTTTACAATTGTCTAATGTACAATTATAACGATTCACAAACATAGAGTTCTATATTGCTTAATATATGGTTTTCAAGCCTTCTTAATATAAACTTTGTATTATTACGCAATCTCATGAAACAATATATTGTTACGTAATATTATAAGTAACAATATAACATGAGTGCCAACTTTCAAGATCAACCTATGAGTATGTAGTCCAAATAGTCTTACGTAATTTAAGAGCTCAGGAGTGTGCAAGTTGTTCCTAAAATCATTGATTGAATGTTCTTTACAAACATGTACACATATGTATTTTATATGTGTTAGTTATAAAGAATAAATGGTGAAATGCAATGATATATGTCTTAAAAAGTAGGAGAAATTGATTTATATATGTTGTATTAATGAGGGTCTAATATTTAAAAAGTTGGAGACATGGAATTTTCCTCTTCAAACAAAAATAGTATTCCATGAAAAGCAGAAATTACACTTTTAAAAAACATGATTAACAAAAATGCAAATATTTAACTTTAAGCACCTATCATTTTTAATGTATTGATATTAAGAAATACATAACATTTTAACACATGAACTATATTTTTTGATGTTTTTTCAATGTAAATCGCCTATATTGATATAATAGAAATCATGACTCTAACATCAAACCCACACCTCAAACCTTCACTCTTTCTAGACTCATAATAACCATAAAGTCCCCCCACTCCCTGATTGGGCACAAAAAAGTGCACTCAAACTCGAGCAACATTTTTCATTGACCATGCAGGAGTTTCGAAACAACTATCGACATTAAAAGCCATGGTACTTACCCCCAAACCAAAAAACATGACCAAACACTTAATCCATTCACACACCTCGAGTTTTTGAATAAAGAATAAAACCGAAGTGTGATAGAGAGCAAGAGCTTGGCTTGGAAGAAGAGAGGCAGAGCCCCCCCTTGGGTTTACTGAAGGTGGTAACGGGCTTGAGCCCAGTTTCGTGGGCTGGTTGTGGGCCGTTAAATATTTATTCTTTATAATTTTCGTGATTTGGAGTTAATTAGGATTTCTATTATTCTGTTTCCTATTTGGAGTTGATTAGGATTTCTATGATTTTGTTTCCTACTTCCTAGTTTATTAAATTTCTGCTCTCATCAAAGTGCGGAAGGATAGACTTGAAACTAGTGCAACAATAAATAACTATATAAAACTTTGGGAAAACTGTCAAATAGGTCCTCGAACTTTCATAAAAAGGTCAATTAAGTCCTTCTATAGGAGGTTCTGTCCGGCCGTTGCGATTTGGGGCACTTCCCAGTGGAATTTTTTTATGAATTTTTTTGAGCATCTTATTCACCAAGTCTAGTTTACTCATACCAAATTTCGGCTAAATATTCAATCGGGAACACATTCAAATTAATTCTTGAAGATAACTGCACATTTTTGCGTTCTCAAATTAATTCGAATGCGCTCCCGATTACATTTTTAGCTGAAATTTGGTATGAGTAAACTAGACTTGATGAATAAGATGCTCAAAAAATTTCATCAAAAAAATCCACTGGGAACCGCCCCAAATCGCGACGATCGGAAAAAATCTCCTACAGAAGGACTTAATTGACTTTTTTTTGAAAGTTCGAGGACCTATTTGACAGTTTTCCCTAAAAATTTTGATCTGCTTCCATCCTCCCTGCTCCGCGGCGGACGAGTGACTCCCTCATCCTTGTGTTAGGCAAACCACGTTAAATAGCTCGTCTCTCTCCTGTTTTCTAGAGTGTGAAACTCCACCTCCATCCCCGTACTAGCGCCCGCAACTACTGCATCTTCGGTTCTTTTGCGGTTCTGGTCCGATTTTCCTTCCTTGCCTGAGAAGCTGTTGTAACCATCAACCTATTCTCTCCCTCGGTTGGATCATCCTTGCTGAAATCATCTTCACTCTTTGTGTTCAGCTTGGTGCCCATGCCGCCACTCATCCCTTGCTCTCTAGTTTTCCTCCTTCCTACTAGAACTAACTACCTGTTTCCTTTTACTTTACCCTTCAGAATTTCAGATTGTCTTCCAACTAACTGGAGAAATTTTTTTTTGCATGCCCAATAACACTATACAAGAAGCAAAAGCTACGTGACTTCTCATAACGGAAATTAACCTTACAACTATCCCCTCCCTCCTTCTACAATTTCAGCCTTCTTTTTGAGGGTTTCCCACATCTAAAACAACACTAATACACAAATGGATTTCAAGAAGTAGAAAAAATTTGTCCATCAATTTTGAAAAAAGTACCAATAAAATTCTCAATTCTTTCAGCAATATCTAGTGTAAAAAATTTTGGGGTTTGGTCATCAATATTATTAAATAAAATGAGTTAGACAAATATAAGTCTTCTTTAATTAGTTTCCAAGAAAGAGACTATACGGTAGTTTCATTTTAAAAATTGGGAAGCAAATACCATCTATGCCCTTGCTAGTCAACTTACGTAAAGATTGCATTCCTACTAGCCGTTTCCGACTTTCTGCTCCGTCAACAACTTTGTTGCTCTACTTTCGAAAAAAAACTTTGCTGTTTGTTTAAACTTTGGTCAAAAATTTGTTTTGACTTTTATAACCCTCCTTCATTTTTAATTAATCGGGTAACAATTTGCAATTATTTAATCCAATCAGTTACAATTACTCGCTCGATCAGTTATAGTTACTCAATTTGACCAGTTACAGTGATTTGCTCGATCAGTTACAGTTACTCGCTCGATCAGTTATAGTTACCCAATTTGACCAGTTACAGTTACTCGCTCGATCAGTTATAGTTACTCAATTTGACCAGTTACAGTTACTCGCTCGATCAGTTATAGTTACCCAAATTGACCAGTTACAGTTACTCGCTTGATCAATTATAGTTACCCAATTTGACCAGTTACAATTACTCAACCCGATCAATTACAATTACCTGATCCGATTGATTACAGTTACTCGACTGACCAGTTACGTTTGTCCGATTCCACCAGTAATAATTACTCAATTAAATCAATTACAGTTACTCGATCCGATCAATTACAATTATCTGATCCGTTCAGTGACCAATGCTGCCGTGGGTCGGCCAGTGACTAACATTTCCCTGACCAGTGACCACGTCCTTACACCAATAGCACCGTCGCCGACCGCTTCCGCCAACCACTGCCGCCTACCACCCGTTGAGTGACCGGTGCCACCACCCCGCTCTTTTTGTTGACCATGCCCCGCTCCATCCAGTAACTGCTGCCCGTCAAGTGACTGACCCCGCAGCCCTGTCAATTTCCACTGCTGATTGGCAACCGCCGCCCCAACCATCTACCGCCGCACAGGCCCGTCTACCGCCGCCGCAGCCCTGTCTACGGCCGCTGCTGGCGCTCCATTCATGTCTCCTCCCAACCCCAGCTCCAAACCCTACCTTCGTCCCAATCACTGACCAGAACTAGCTGTTAAGGTTAGAGCGCACACACACACAAATCTGAAAACGAGAAAAGAACGAGAAGAAACGGCACACAGAAATTAACGTGGTTCAGCCAGTAAGTGTTACTGACCTAATCCACGGGGGCAACTAGGGTTTTCTTCTTTATTGAGATGATGAATGATACAGATGATAGTTTTACAAGTACAGGAGTCAATATATAGGCAAACAATTAGGGTAAAGCACTTAAATAAGGTTCTGGGCCTGACTGCCATCAAAGAAATAGGCCCAACTAGGGCTGCCTGCACATTTAACTAGAGCAGGCTGCTGCTCTTTGTTTAAATGACTCCCAGGTCTGAGTGGGCCGAAGCCTACAGCCCAACAATCTCCCACTTGGAGGCTTCGAAACACGATCAACTGCACTCCACTCCTCTGTACTTCTGTAAACTTCATCTGTGTTTAGCTTCTCCTAGTTGCCACCTGCCTTCTCAACATTATTCTTGAAGGCCAGCTGAAGTTACACAGAACTTCAGCTTGTCCAGCGTCACAGATTTAGTGAACATATCTGCTGGATTCTTTGCACCTGAGATATTCTTCAAGTTCATCGTTCCTTCACTGATCAACCCTCTAACAAAGTGATATCTCATCCCAATGTGCTTCGTTTTCCCATGATACACTGGATTATTGGCAAGTTTCACTGCACTCTCATTATCACAATGTAATGAGTAATCTGCTTGCTTTTTGTCTAACTCTTCAAGAAAGTTTCTCAACCAAACCAGCTCTTTACTGGCTTCAGCAACTGCCATGTACTCTGCTTCGGTTGTTGAGAGAGCTACACTTTTCTGAAGTTTGGACATCCAACTAACTGCGGTTCCTCCCACTGTGAAAATGTACCCCGTAGTGTTTTTTAACGTCTCTTTGCATCCACCCAAATCAGCATCAGAATACCCTCTTAAAATTACGTCTTTACCTCGGAAACATAACCCCATCTTTGTAGTACCCTTCAAATACCTAAGTATCCATTTGGCTGCTTCCCAATGTTCTCTCCCCGGTTTTGACATGAAGCGACTAACAACTCCGACTGCATAAGCTATATCTGGTCTCGTGCACACCATAGCATACATGAGGCTACCAACTGCAGATGCAAAAGGAACTTTAGCCATTTCTGCATTCTCTTCGTTTGTTCTCGGAGATTGGTCTTTGGTAAGCTTGAAGTGACTTCCCAAAGGCGTGTTTCTCGGTTTAGTCTTCTCACCATTCATATTGAATTTCTCCAACACTTTCCCAATGTACTTCTCCTGGGATAGTGTTAAAGAACCATTCTCCTTGTTTCGGACTATGCTCATTCCGAGTATTTGTTTGGCTGGACCCAAATATTTCATTTCAAATTCTTGAGACATTTGCTTCTTTAACCTGCTGATCTCTTTCATATCTGCACCAGCTATCAACATATCATCTACATAGAGAAGTAGAATGATATATGAACTCTTGAACCTCTTGACGTAGCAGCAATGATCCATCTCACATCTTCTGTACCCTGTCCTTATCATGAAGTTATCAAACTTCAAATACCATTGTCTCGGAGCTTGTTTCAGACCATATAAGCTCCGTTTTAGTTTGCAGACCAGATTTTCTTTACCAGCAACCTGAAATCCTTCAGGCTGTGCCATATAGATATCCTTATCAAGGTCACCATGTAAAAATGCTGTCTTAACATCTAGTTGCTCTAGATGTAAGCCCTCTACAGCTACAATGCTTAGAACCAATCTGATGGTGGTCATTCTAACCACTGGGGAAAATATCTCATTATAATCCACTCCCTTTTTCTGCTGAAAACCTTTGACCACTAAACGGGCTTTGTACCGTTTAGACCCATCAGGCTCATCCTTGATTCTGAATATCCATTTATTTTGAAGTGCCTTCTTGCTTGGCGGAAGCTTAGTAAGAACCCATGTCTTGTTCTTGTGCAAGGCACCCATTTCTTCCTTCATAGCCTGCTCCCAATGAAACGAATCATTCTGCTTTACTGCTTCAAGATAACTTTCTGGTTCTCCGTTTTCAGTCAAAAGAAGGTAATTGACTGATGGACTGAATCTTTCTGGAGGTTTAGTGACTCTAGTGGATCTCCTGACCCACTGTGTTTCAACTGGCTGTGGCTGCATGGGTGAAGCTGCAGATTCATCTTCTGAATTGTCACTATCAACAGAATCTCCTTGATTATCATCAAGCTCGTCAGTACTGGAATCATTCTCCATGCTCCCACTTCCTTGAGTATCTTCAGACTCTCTGTTTCTGATGACTTCATTTTCAAACTCAATTTGCTCTTTCTGAATCTTTGAGTTTGTCGTGCTTCTGTCTTTATAAAGTTCAGCCTCGTTGAATGTAGCATGCTTACTTCTGATTACCTTTCTGCTTTCACAGTCCCAAAGCCGGTAACCCATGCTGTCTCCCCCGTATCCAATGAAAGTGTATTTCTTGGCTTTAGCATCTAACTTGTCACCATCTTTCATAAGATCATAAGCGCTGCAACCAAATATCTTTAAATGCCCATACCTGACAGCTTCTCCTTTCCATTCTTCCTCCGGTATCTTGAAACCTAATGGTACTGATGGCCCCCGGTTGATAAGATAAGCAGCAGTATTCACTGCATCAGCCCAGAACGTCTTTGGAAGCCCAGCATTGAGTCTCATACTCCTGGCCCTCTCATTCAAAGTTCTGTTCATCCTTTCTGCCACTCCGTTCTGTTGAGGAGTGCCTGGAACCGTCTTTATCATCCGAATGCCATGTTCAGCACAATAATCAATAAACTCTGTGCTAATGTATTCACCGCCATTGTCCGATTTCAAGCACTTTACCTTCAAATTAGTTTCCAATTCAACAGCAGTTTTCCACTTCTTAAAAATATTGAAAACTTCAAACTTATTTTTAAGAAAGTAGACCCATACCTTGCGTGTTGAGTCGTCAATGAAGGTCACATAGTAGCTTGATCCTCCCAGGGAAGAGACTGGCGTCCGGCCAAACACATCCGTGTGAACTAGCTCCAGCTTCTGAGTTTTCGGTGTCTGACCTGTCTTCAAAAAAGAAACCTTCTTTTTCTTGCCAAGAACACAAGGTTCACAGAACTCAGAATTCACCTTTTTCAAATCTGGAAGTTTCTCCCTTGCAACGAGCATCTTCATTCCCTTTTCACTCATGTGGCCAAGCCGTTGATGCCACAAACTGGATGGATTCAGCCCACAGGTCACTGCATTCATCTCATCATCAGGGGCTTCATTTATATATAAAGTACCCCTCTTTTTGCCTCTAGCGATTACAAGATTCCCCTTGACAACCTTCCATTGTCCTTCACCAAATGTAACATCAAATCCCTGATCATCCAACTGCCCAATAGAAATCAGCATCTTCTTAAGGCTTGGAATGACCCGAACGTCTTTCAATGTCCAAGTGGTGCCCAAAGAAGTCTTTAAGTCTATGTCACCCATCCCTGTGATGTCAAGAGAGTCGTTATTAGCCAAACGAACTTTACCAAAATTACCTGTCCGTAGATTCTTTATCATCTTTGTGCTGAAAGTAGCATGAAAAGATGCACCGGAATCCATAATCCACGACTCTGTTGAGTTTTCAACACAGCAAATAAGAGCATCATCTGAATCGTCAGTGGTTGCATTCACTTCCTTCCTTTCTGATGATTTAGGGCATTGATTTCTGAAATGCCCAGTTTCTTTGCAGTTCCAGCATTGAATATCTTTTCTCGGCTTTGATTTCCCTTCTCTTTCTTTCTACCTCTCCCTTCAGTGCTTAACAAAGCACTAGAAGATTCTCCAGAACTCCTCCTTCTTATATCCTCTCCAAGGATAATGTCACGAATGCCCTCAAATGTGAGTTTAGAAGTTCCAGTTGAACCGCTAATGGCAGTGACTGTTCCTGACCAACTTTCTGGTAATGAGGATAACAAGAATAAAGCTTGGACTTCATCTTCAAACTTAATATCAACAGATAGCAAGCGGGATATGATAGTATTGAACTCGTTAATATGTGAGGTAACAGAAGCACCTTCTTTCATTCTGGTGTTTACTAGCTGTCTTATCAAAAATACCTTATTTGACGCCGATGGTTTCTCATACATGTTTGACAAAGCCTTCATCAAACCACATGCAGTAGTCTCCTTCAAGATGTTAAACGCCACACTCTTGGCTAGGGTAAATCTGATAACAGCCAAAGCTTTCCTGTCTAGAGCAGTCCATTCATCATCACTCATCTTTTCTGGTTTCTTTCCTGTCAAGGCTTGATCCAGATCCTTCTGACACAGCAAATCCTCAATTTGCATCTTCCACCATCCAAAATCTTGTCCATCAAGCTTCTCGACTTTGGTTTTTCCGTCGTCTGCCATTGTCCCAAACCTTTACAATCTGCCAGCTGTGTTTTTCTGCGGCAGCACACTGTTGGCGGCACAAAGAGGCTATGGACGCAGGGCGGCAGCAGTGGTGGTGGTCAGATATGTGGTGGTGGCTAACCTCGCTCTGATACCAGTTGTTAAGGTTAGGGCGCACACACACACAAATCTGAAAACGAGAAAAGAACGAGAAGAAACGGCACACAGAAATTAACGTGGTTCAGCCAGTAAGTGTTACTGACCTAATCCACGGGGGCAACTAGGGTTTTCTTCTTTATTGAGATGATGAATGATACAGATGATAGTTTTACAAGTACAGGAGTCAATATATAGGCAAACAATTAGGGTAAAGCACTTAAATAAGGTTCTGGGCCTGACTGCCATCAAAGAAATAGGCCCAACTAGGGCTGCCTGCACATTTAACTAGAGCAGGCTGCTGCTCTTTGTTTAAATGACTCCCAGGTCTGAGTGGGCCGAAGCCTACAGCCCAACACTAGCCACTGCCAATGCCCCAAGCTGCGTCGCAGCAGTCATCGACAACCCCAGACCTGTCCACCGTCACTGTCCAACCTAAACAAAAACCATGACAATCGCCAAAGCACAGTACCGAATCTGCGCACCCTAGCCGGACAGTCGAGTCATAGCAATACCTAACCAACCGAGCCCTAGCCGCTGCATATCTTAAACCTAACGAATTCCATCGCTGGCGATATGAAATTCTAGCCATCTTCTTCTCTAAGGTTCATCGTTTCCGTCACCTTCACCTCTAATCGAACAGAAATTAAAGATGAAGAAGAGCAGTGAGCGACAACCTAGAGGCGGAGGCGGCGACCAGACGACGGAAGCCGCACGAGTCAGTTACCTTTATTAGAAAGTAAGCAGAAATAGAAAGGAGGAATAATTTCTCTCATATTGATTAAGATGAATCGGTACATGTATATATACTACAGCTGATATAACCGACTCTAACAAACTTACTATCAGATCTAACAACCTGACTATATCAGCTGAGGGTATATATTTATTACAATAGGTGTGCGTATATATATAATAATACTTCTAACATTCCCCCCTCAAACTTAGTGTGATTGATTTGAAAGGTCAACCACACTAAGTTTGGTCTTCAAGTCAAGGAAAGATGATGCAGACAGGGGTTTTGTCAGAATATCAGCAACTTGGTAAGGAGCTGGGATATGAAGAACTTCAATCTGCTTAGATTGGACTTTCTCTCTCACAAAGAAAAGATCTATTTCCATGTGCTTGATCCTGGAGTGTAAAACAGGGTTGTGAGCAAGCTGTACAGTGCTGAGGTTGTCACAGTAGACCTTTGAGGTAGAAAATGGTACTTGAAGCTCTTGAAGTAGAGATTGAACCCACAAGACCTCTGCAGCTGTGTCTGCTAGACTTCTGTACTCAGCTTCTGCTGAGGATCTGGCTACCTTTTGTTGCTTCTTTGACCACCATGAGATGATGTTAGATCCAAAAAAGATGCATGAACCAGATGTGGACCTTCTGTCAACAGGATCAGATGCCCAGTCAGCATCACAGTAGGCTGAAATAGGTAGAGCCATGGTGTTCAAAGGAAGAGGTTTAATGATGATGCCATGTGTGATAGTTCCTGATAGATATCTGAGAATGTGTTTAACTGCCTTCCAGTGTTCTTGTAAAGGTGCTGCCATGAATTGACAAACCTTGTTAACAGCATAGCTAATTTCTGGTCTTGTTAGAGTGGCATATTGCAGAGTGCCAACAACAGATCTGTAAGTAGATGGGTCTGGTAGACATGGACTACCAGTATTTGTAAGTTTGCAGCTACTAATCATGGGAGTTTTAACTCCTTTTGAATCTAACATGCCAGTCTGATACAGTAGATCTCTCACATACTTTGTCTGGGATAGATGCAAGCTGCCATCACCTAATTTCCTTACTTCAATACCAAGGAAAAAATCAATGTCTCCTAGGTGCTTGAGAGAGAAAGATGAATGCAATTTCTGGATGAGATTTTGAATAGCATAGGAATCATTTCCTATAACAAGAATGTCATCTACATATATGAGGATATAGATCTGAATTCCTGGGGACATGAAAAACAAGAGGGAAGGATCACATTTGCTCTGTTGAAAACCAGCTGTATAAAGAACAGAAGTGAGTTTGTGAAACCATGCCCTTGGAGCCTGTTTTAGGCCATATAATGACTTGTGGAGTTTGCAGACAAGAGATGGGTCCTGTGCCTGAAAACCTGGAGGCTGAACCATGTAGACTTCTTCATCAAGTGTCCCATTGAGGAAGGCATTATTGACATCTAATTGCTGAACAGTCCATTTGTGAGAAACTGCCAGTGTGAGAAGAACTCTAATAGTGACTGGCTTAACAACAGGTGAGAAGGTTTCAGTAAAATCAAATCCAAACCTCTGATGGAAACCTTTAGCAACCAGCCTGGCTTTGAATTTATTAAGAGATCCATCAGAATTTTCTTTCACTCTGAAGACCCATTTACAACCAATGGCATGTTTGTCTGGTGGTAAGGGAACCAATGACCAAGTACCATTAGCTATAAGGGCATTGTATTCATCCTGCATTGCAGAGAACCACTGGGGAGATGAGAGAGCTTGCTTCACTGACTTGGGCTCAATATGTGCTAATAGTAAGGTAGGATTAAGTCTTGGTTTGATAATTCCTGATTTGGCTCTGGTTTGCATGGGATGAGTGTTAGTCAACTGATGAGGTGTGGAAGAGGAAGAGGTGGAAGTAGAGGAGGATATGTGGTCTTGTTGAGAAGGTATGGCAGATATGGAAGGAACAGAGGATGGATCAGAATTATTGGTAGGTGTAGAGTCAGTGTTAGAGTGGGTTGAGATGTTATTTGTAGGTGGTGAGTGGACATGGCTATGGGAGGTATTCGGTTGGGAGGTATCTGGTTGAGAATTGGATGAATGTGGATGTAAGATGGTGAGGATTGCAGAATTTGGTGTAGAGACTTTTATGTTGGTGGGCTGGTTGGAGGGGAATAAGGTTGGATAAGGGAATTTTGATTCATGAAATGTGACATCTTTTGAAATGTATATTCTCCCAGATTTGGAAAGACACTTGTAGCCTTTGTGTTGTGAAGAGTACCCTATGAAAATACACTCTTCAGAGTGGAAATCCATTTTATGCTTGTTGTAGGGTCGCAAAAAAGGATAACAGGAGCAGCCAAAGACTCTGAGGAAGGAATAGTCTGGTACAGAACCAAAAAGCTGGTAATATGGGCTAGAATTGGATATTGATTTGGAAGGGGTTCTATTTATGAGATGTACTGAAGTTGCAAAAGCAGCATCCCAAAACTTAAAAGGCAATGAAGAATGGGCAAGAAGTGACAGTCCTTTTTCAACAATTGTGCGATGTTTTCGTTCTACCACACCATTTTGATGGTGTGTGTGTGGACATATGATTCTGTGGGTGATCCCTTTTTGAGACAGAAAATTGGTGAAGGATCTAAATTCTCCTCCCCAGTCAGATTGGAGAGATTTGATGGATGTGGAGAATTGATTGAGGACAAGGTTGTAAAAGTTTTGGAATGCTGGAAGGGCATCAGATTTGTTTTTCAGAAAATATATCCAGGTATATCTTGTGTGAGCATCAATAAAGGCAATATAGTATGTGTAACCATCAAAGGATATAACAGGTGCTGGGCCCCATAGGTCAGTGAATATCAGTTCAAATGGTTTGTGATAAACAGTGTTGGAAGAATATGCAGGGAGTCTATGTGCCTTACCAAGGCAACAGGCAGAACAAAACTGAAGATTATTCTTATTACTGACAGAAACATTACAAAGTTGAAGTACAGATTTAAGTGCCTCAGGATGAGGATGACCTAATCTGAGATGCCAAACATTACATGAATCTGAGAGATTACATGATTGAGATTTATTACAGGCTGACAAAAGTGAAAAAGGAGACATAGAATTATTTCTAGACACTGAATAAGCTTGTGAAGTGACAGCAGCAGTTGAACTGGAACCAAGAGGAATACATGGAAACTTGTACAAGCCATCTTCACCAAGTATTCCATGCAACAAAACCTGTTTAGAAACCTGAGATTTGACATAACAGTGATGAGGATAAAACTCAAAATAGGCATTATTGTCTTTGGCAAACTGACTAACACTCAGTAAATTTTTAGTTATGGAAGGAACATGAAGTATATTATGTAATAAGAGTGATTGTGAGGAGTGATAAGGTGAGGGAAAAGAGGAAAAACCAACAGACTTGATGTCCAAACCTTGACCATTGCCCATAAAGAGCTTGTCAGTTGTTGCAATAGGCTCACAATGCTGGAAGTTCAGTGGATCTGCAGTAACATGATGTGTTGCTCCTGAATCTGGAAACCAGGTTTGATTTTGTGGAACAGGCCCAAGTATAGATGCAGTTGTGGTAGCAAAGTTTGCAGATGGTGCAGAGGATTGTTGATGTCCCCAATTAAAAGTTGGAGAAGGTGAATTAAAGGGCTGATGATTCCATGGAGCAGAAAATATGTGAGAGGTATGTGGTTTAGGTTGGGGAGGTATTTGATAGTAAGAAGCTTGTGAATGTGGATTCCAGTAATTTGCTCCTCCAGGATTCTCAGGTGTAGAATTTGTGAAATTAGAGTTTGAGACAGTATAGGTAGGATTATACCTGTGATAACAAATCAAAGCATGATGGCCACTTTTTCCACAGACCTGGCAGATTACAGAGCTACGACCACCAGAGCGGCCACCTCTGCCTCTAGTGAAACCTCCACGGCCTCGTCCACGTTGAGAGACATTGTTGTTTGAGTTACTGAACTGAGCAACATTCGCGGAGGGATTATCAGTAGCTACAGATGTTTCAGTTGTGGAAGAGGTTTCAACCTGAGCGACGTGAGCTGAGAACACACTTTGTTTTGTTGATTCATGAAATTTCTTCAGACGCATCTCCTTTGCTAGCAGCAAGGATTCAAGTTCAGTCAATGAAACAGGCTCGAGAGTACTACGAGAGGTTACAGATGATACCAACGATTCGTAGTCTTCTGGAAGACCTTCGAGGATAACATTAATATGCTCTTTGCTAGACAACGGTTCACCAACCAGACGAAGATTGTTAACGATAGTCTGAATGTTTATAAGATACTCAGAAATCGATCGCTCCCCTTTTCCAGTATTGTAGAGTTCGGATTTTAGTTGTCTGGCCCTTGCGATAACATTTGCTTTGAAAAACTCCTTAATCGTGCTCCAGAGCTCATGCGACTTCAGGCAATGAATCACACGAGCATGAAGTGTCTCCGACAAAGACGACAACATCCATGAGAACAGCATCTGATCCTGCTGTTCCCAAGTGATATACGCATCGTTCACAGATTTAGTTCCGTCTGCAGCAGCGATGAATTCCTCTGGAATTTGAGGATTCTCTATGAATTTCAACAGCTTGTGCGCACGAACTACAGACGTGATGTGATGTTTCCAAAGGAGATAGTTGTTTGAATCCAGTTTGATTGGTAAAGGATGTGAAAATGCTACTGGAAAGGAGACATTTCCAGTAACAGAGGTTGAAGATGAAGTAGAGTCAGATTCCGGCATGGTAGACCGAGCCTAGATCTGAAGCTCTGATACCATATTAGAAAGTAAGCAGAAATAGAAAGGAGGAATAATTTCTCTCATATTGATTAAGATGAATCGGTACATGTATATATACTACAGCTGATATAACCGACTCTAACAAACTTACTATCAGATCTAACAACCTGACTATATCAGCTGAGGGTATATATTTATTACAATAGGTGTGCGTATATATATAATAATACTTCTAACAACCTTGGAGAGGAGGCAGAGAGATTTGTGCCCTGTGAATTTTTTTGCAAAGGCGATGGTGGATTCTGGATTGGGCGAAGGAAGGGTGTGCAGATTGGAAAAATGGGAAAAGATCTGAGGGTACAAACGTCCATTCAATTTTACGAATTCACTTTTAAGTCCATATTGAAGTCAAGCTCTGTTTTTGTCCGGATGAAAGCCCATAGTCCTCTTTTTGCCATTGTTTCAAAAAACTTACTGGTAAATCATGGATTTGAATCCAAAGTTCAGCCTTGTTTAATGACATAAATAATGGAAGATTCCCTTCCACAAATTTCCTTAAAACAATTAAATTTTAATCGAGTCATGGCCCATGGCCCTTCTTTGAGAATTCTATTCATATCGGCTTCATGATAAAATTGAAAAAAAAATGCCAGGATCCTAAATCAGATATGGTAACACCTTTGACGGGATTCCAAACCGTTGCCATGGTGTCCCGAAAGAAAGAGAAACATAAAAATCTTTCTGATGTGATAGTACCAACCAGTGAAAACCCCACCCCTGATATCATCGGTTGCGTGGGTTCCACCAATAACACCTCACCCTTTTCCTTGAAGATCAACCGATTGCAGGCCCATTCAAGAGCATCCAACACGCCCTGCTCCTTATTCATGTCGCTCGCTGCTGTGCCACCCAACTCGCCCTGCTCAATGCTTGTGTCATTCACAGCTGTGCCGCCCAACTTGCCCGGCCTCTTGCTCTTATCGATCGTTGCCATGCCGTCTCAGGAAATGCTGATCAACAAGATTAGCGGCGCCTTAAACCCTAGGACTGCTGCCTACCACCTCTGCCAAGAAGATTTTTTTCTACACACATTTATCTTGATGTCATTAATATCATTTTTTGATGCTTACTATCAAATTTTAATTAATAAAAAATATCAAAATTTAATGTTCAAAAACCTTGAGCACTATCCCCTTTGGGTGTACCTACATACTTGTAAGTCGTGACACTTTCAATTTCGTTAAGCTTACTTTCTCTTTTTCAACCAAAAGGTAAATTAGTAAAATTAATGGGGTAAGTGTTGGACATCAATTTTGGTAAATTTTACTTGGAATGAAATTTTCTAGTCTAGTTTGGTCTGATATGATAGATATCTATTTTATGTGCATTTTGCTACTGTATAAGTCTAATCTGGTGTGATCTAGAACTCAAATCAATCTGATTAAGAGCATAATACGTCTCCTAGTTTTTTAACTTTTAAATGTCATCTTCTACCTTTTCATCTTACATTTCATTCTTTTCTATCTCTTTGTCATACTTTTTCACATTTTTTATATTATGCATTATTCTTACTATATCAACATAAACTTTAAATAAATAAATAACATTGCAAATATTTAAATGCCAAGAGCATTTAATTTCTATTTTAACTGATATTTATTTGGTACATTCACACATATTTTAATAGAAGGAATACTGTTTTTTTATTATTGTTCACAATTTAGTCTAAAAACTACTCCCTGAATATTAAAAATATTAAGGAGATAAGGGAAATATTATTAACCATAAATCTTTGCTATAAAAGGAAAAAGAGTATATTGGGATGGATAAAAAAGGAAAGAATGAAATTTTTTTGGATAGTCTTCATGTATGTGAATTGAACTATATGGGAGCTTGTTACAGTCCATTACGGTCCACGGAAATGTCTTAGGGACTTTTGAGCTGGAGACAGTAGTAATTTTTTTGTTAATTTTAAATAATTAGAGAATACGTGTTGTCTTGTCTTATGTATATATTATAAGAGTAGCCTTTTAAAAATTCTTTTGCTCTTGATGTGGTTCATTGGAAAATCTTGTAGAGTGTATACTTTATTGTTCTTCATGTGGTCATTCACTCATTCTTAAGCGGGATAACGCTCCATCATATTTCCTTTGCTTATAGATATTAAGAAATTATATTTATGAGTAGATGACATCATTTGTATGATTTATTCTTCAATTCTCATCGTAGCGTCATTACTTTAAACATGGACCAGTTCAAGTATGTTCACTCCAATTTTTGGTTTAATATATTGACATCATGTGAATCATAATGTCCCTCACGGAAAAGTTATAATGGAGGGGCCGAGGGGTTAAGCATTATTATAAATCTCTACTGATAGAAAATTATAAACAGTTGACTGCAAATTTAGCTGAACTGAGAGTTGGTCACATGGTAGCTTATGTTGCAGCGACATTGACTAAGCAACCTTTTATGTGTTATTAGGCCTACTATATAGACAGTTGGACACAACCACCGACATTCTAGACATTAATTGGCTTGGGATTTGAACATTTACCATATTTTACCGCTGCTACTGCAGACCTAATATGGCAAATGTATTTTGACTCATAAACATTTGTAATAGGGAAAACTGTCAAATAGACCCTCAGTAGTAGTATACTGAAAAAGTCAATTAAATCCTCCAACTAAAAGAACACCCAATTAAGCCTACAAACTTTATAAAAATAATCAAATGTATAACTTAGTAGGTTTATATCCAGTTACCCTATTACTCTAGTGACGTGTCAATCCATGTGTCTTTTCTCTTCTTTTCTTTTTCTTTTCTTTCTTTTTCCCTTCCCTCTCCATTTTTCCTTCCGGCCCCCATCTTCTTTTCTCCTTCCTCTCCACCATCCTGTACGAACAGGAGTAGCTTTTAATTTCTCATCGAAAACAAGGAGTAGCTTTTAATTGTAAAAACTCAGCCGGCTGAAAATTTTGGTTAATCTAAAGGCGGCCTGGCCTACATCTAACTTGGCCCAAACCTTCCTCATCCTCTCATGGTCATCGTTGGAAAGGGAGCGGAGTATCACTCAATTTCCAGAGCCAGCGCCTAAGCACCATTAATGGCGGAGATCTTGAGCTTGGTTTCCCTTCCCTCTCAATCGTGACTCCCTGTCTTGACCGAATCTAAAACGTGTATTGTTCTTACCCAGATTGTTCGTCGTATTCTCCTCCCATTCTGGAACGCGTCCTGTCGGTGCCCTCTACGCCCTCTCCCTTTGGGTCTCCAACGCCGCCTACATACATCTACCTCTCTGCCTCCTTCATCCAGATGCTCAAGGCCGTCTATGCCGTCAGGTTCTCTTCAATAAAGACTCTTACAAGCCCTCCACCATAGCAAACATGGTCGGGATATCCGCCGGAGTCACAATCAACGCTTACGATGAGGCGAAGTATGATTCATGGCTTCATGGGCGGTGTTCCCGTCGCTCATCATAGCTTTCCTCTGGATTCCATTTGCTTTGTCTTCCTCGGGATTCCATGGCCTGTGGCGGATAGCCTCATTGTTGAAGAATAAAGAAAGAATCAGGGGGAGAAGGTGGGGTAAAGAAAAAAAGTAGAAAAGGAAAAAAAGAATAAGACACGTGGATAGCCAAGTCAGCACAATTACCGGGTAACCGGACATCAACCTACTAAATTATACATTTGATTGTTTTTCTAAAGTTTGTAGGTTAATTGGGTGTTCTTTTAGTTGGAGGACTTTATTGACTTTTTCGGTATACTACGAGGGTCTATTTGACAGTTTTCCCTTTGTAATTAGGGGTGGACTCGGGCCGGGCGACCCGGCCCGGTTACTGTTTGGCCCGGCCCGGCCCAGGGCCCGGTTCGGGCCTAGTTTTTGGTGAACCGGCCCGGCCGGTTCGGGCCCGGTTCGGGCCGGTTTTTAATTTTTTTTTTTCTTTTTTTGATTTTTTTTTAAGTTTTGGGTTGGATTAGGTATTTTGGGCCATTTGAGGTGGTTTGGGGTTGAGGGTGAGGGGTTGGGGGTTAAATAGAAGAGCCAAAAAAAAATTAGAACCGGTTAGGCCCGGCCCGGTTAGTCCCGGCCCGGTTTGGCCCGGAACCGGAATCGCCCACCGGCGGTTCGGGCTCGGGCCTAACTTTCCTGGCCCGAGGCCCGGCCGAGCCCAGGCCCAAACCGGGCCCAAACCGGCCCGAGTCCACCCCTAATTGTAATATCATTAATATGTTTCCATTTGCTGATTATTTTCTGCATGCGATGTTTTTACAGGTGCTTCCTACTGACTCCAAAACTGCTACCTAATCTAGAATATAGTGAAGCATGCAGCATTTTGACTGTTATGAATGGGCCATGGATCGATCAGCCTTCAAAAGGTTTATGCCTCTCCCATTTCTTGTTTATATTAAACAATGATTGACAATGAGTTATTAGAGTGAAAGGTTCACCCCCTACAATGAAATTTCTATTTTCATGCTTAATTTCAGCATGGAGCAATGGAGAAAACTGGAGATCGGTCATGGGATCATTTGAAGAGAGGTGTCACTAGTAAGGCAGTAAATCATGCATAGCTTTCTTTTGGAAGTGTGCAGTATGCCTGTATATATGTAATTTGCTGATGATTTGGAAGTAGACAAGTAGTTATTATCCCTCTAACATTTTTTGGCGTTTTCAGCGATCAATTTAGAGTTCTCGAATGCACTATAACATGTAATCTTATTTTCTTGGCTTATTTGTATTTATAGTAGATGATTTTTTTTTGTGTGCGTGTAATTGAATAAAGAAAACTAGGTGTTAGGCCAAGATCATCTCCTTATTGAGTTATGATTACTCGATACATTTTGGCTCCGTATATGGGTTGTTGCTCATTATTTAATTTAATAATATTAAGTTTAATGATAACAGCTGAATTGTGTTGTTGCTGGTTAACAAATAACAATCAAAGTCCTTATCTGTCGGGAAACAAAAGTGGTCCTTGAACTCATACAAAGCCGGTGGATTCATATGTGTAGTGTACATATGGGTGTTGTTTAAGTAGTAAGTATCCCTTCAGTCCCACTTAGGGGGGGACCCGTCGGCGATCCGGGACTGGTACCGGGACCGGTGCAGGACCGGGTACCCAACCGGGAATTGGCGTGTCTAGGGATGACTTGGGATGGGACCAGGCCGGGCTTCAGGATGGGACCGGATGGGCTTTGGGCATAAGGATTTTAGGCCCGGTATTAGTTTGGGTTCCAAGACCAGGTTGGGCTGGGCCCATATAGTACTGGGCCCGTCATTTTTTAATGATTATGGGTCCATATTTAATTGGGAAAGTTCTCGAAATAAGACTAGAAAAGTTTGAAAATTTCAAAATAGGAATGCCATGTTTTTATTCCCAAAATAGGAGTAATTACTGTCATGTTTGGAAAATACTACTATGTTTGAAGTCTGATACTGCCAAAACATGACAGTAATTAGTCCTATTTTGGGAGTAAAAACATGACAGTCTTATTTTGGAATTTTCAAACTCTTTTAGTCCTATTTCGGGTAATATCTCTATTTAATTTCATTTATCCAAACTCATTATTAATTTTGATAATTGGGTCGAGTTGGACAATATCAAAATATGTCCAAAACATGGACAAAACTAACGAGTTTTGGATAAATGAAATTAAATATGGACCCATAATCATTAAAAAATGACGGGACTAGGTAGGATCCCGGTTCGAACCTGACTCATTGACTAGCCTAAGTATAATGATAATGTGCATGAGATTACATTATTGACTCATCGACTTAGACCATGCATACCGAGATTATGCAGAATCTTCTCTATATATGTTTGTCATTTAGGATGTTTTTAATTGAACTAAAATTGTTTGGTCATTTATGGTGTATTTAAGTTTGGTTGATGTGGTTGATGTCATTTTTATGTAGGGGTTGGGACGGGTCAAGACGAGAATTGGATTGTCGCGGTACTGAACCGATTTTGAATAAAAATTCGGAACAAGATGGGACAAGACCTTGTCTTGTTGTCCCTTTTGAACCGATACCGGGATAAAACTGGCTACATGGATAGTTTTTTAGTACAAAACTGGTTGTACTAGCATAAAAGTACACTTTAAAATGTATACACGATTAACATCCTAGTAAGCTATAAATTTTTTATTGTGTTGCATTTTCCCACAAATTTCTTGATGTGTTATACGGAGTAGTTTTTAATTTCTTTTTTGTGATTTGCTTTGTTGTGTTCTTAGTGTATAAGGGGAATCCGATCAAGCCATATGACGGCCGCACTGATCCTCAGGAGCACTTCACCCGCTATCAGAACTTTCCCAATTTGTCAAGGGTGCCCCCAAGAGTAACACTTGGGTTAACCCTGGCAAAAGGGGGGAAGGATCCTACGGGAAAAAAAGGGAGATCGGCGCCCTCAGTGAAGATGAGGACGAACAGGAGCCCCGCCAGAAGAAGCATCACATTCACATCATCGTCGGCGGGAACACAGGGGGGGACTCGGCTACCCAACGGAAAAAATGGGCTCAGTCCCTATACGTTGGTGAGGTGACCCACGCCCCCCCTCAGCCGAAGCGGCGGCATGGGGAAGCCATCACTTTCACCGACAAGGACCTCCCCTTCGGCCCCTTGCCCCACAGGGACGCCCTCGTCGTCAAATGCGAGATTGGCAACAACATCATCCACCGCAACTACATCGACACTGGCAGCTCCGTCAATATGATGTACGTTGATACATTCAGACAGCTGAAGCTGAAGAAGACCGAGCTCCGGCCGATACGGACTCCGTTATCCGGCTTCACCGGGGACTCTATCGATGCCGAGGGCACGATAGTGCTTCCCGTTGTGGTCGGTGACGGTACCTGTCAGGCGAAGATTGACATGGAGTTCGTGGTTGTCAACCTGGACAGCGCCCACAACATGATCTGGGGACGACCGGCCTTGGAGGACCTTGAGGCCATCATCTCCATGAGACATCTATGCCTCAAGTTCCCCACCAAGGACGGCGTCGGCTACGCCAGAGGGAACCAGAAGATAGCCAGGGCTTTCTACCTGAAGCTCACAAGGAAGATCAATGAGGCCGAGGAGCGGATCGACACTATCACCACCGCCTCGGCCCAAGAAGACACGCCAAAGGCCGAACCGGTCGGAGACGTGGAAGATGTTCCGTTGGACGTCTCCCGGCCGGAACGAATGCTGAAGATTGGGACACAGCTCCCCCAACAGATTCGAAGGGACATCCTCTCTGTCCTGAGAGCGTACGCCATCGTCTTTGCATGGGGACCAGAGGACATGCCGGGCATCAGCCCAAAGGTTATCACACATCGGCTATCGGTGAACCCGGCCTCCTCCCCCATCAAACAGAAGAAGCGCTACCTCTCAGCTGACAGGAGGGAATTCGTCAAGGCCGAGGTGGCCATGCTGCTCAACATCAAGCACATCAGAGAGGTGAAGTACCCCACGTGGTTGGCGAACGTCGTCCTCGCCCCAAAGCCGCCTACGTTCAGAATGTGTGTTGATTACACTGACTTGAACAAGGCGTGCCCAATGGACCCATTCCCTCTCCCCAACATTGATCAGTTGGTGGATGAGACGGCGGGGTGCGAGTTGATGTCATTCCTCGACGCGTTCAGAGGGTACCACCAGATATCCATGCACGAAGATGACGCGGAGAAGACTGCCTTTATGACCCCGGAGGGAATTTTTTGCTACCTCGTCATGGCCTTTGGGCTCAAGAACTCCGGCGCCACCTACACAAGGATGGTAGCCCGGATTTTTAGAGCAGTCTTAGGTCGGACGATGGAAGCATACGTCGACGATATGATCGTCAAGAGCAAACAATCCACAACTCATGCCGACGACCTCCGGGGCATCTTCGAGATCATGAAGAGATACAACCTCCGGCTCAACCCAAAGAAGTGCACCTTCGGCGTCCAGGGAGGTAAATTCCTGGGGTACCTGGTCAGCCGAAGGGGCATTGAAGTAAACCCGGAGAAGATACAAGCCATTATCAACATGGAGCCGCCCCGAAACATCAAAGAAGTGCAACAGCTGACGGGACGCCTTGCGGCCCTGAACCGTTTCCTTTCAAAGTCCGCGGAAAAATCGCTCCCCTTCTTTCAGATAATGAGGAAGGCCACCAGCTTCAAATGGACGACGGAGTGCCAACAAGCCTTTGAAGAGCTGAAGCAATATCTCGCCTCCCCACCCGTCCTATCCAAGCCCCAACCCGGCGAGACTCTCTTCCTTTACATAGGAGTGAGCACGTCGGCCGTCAGCTCCGTCCTCATCAGGGAGGATGACGGGGTACAAAAAGCTATATTCTACGTCAGCAAGACGTTGCGGGAGGCCGAGCTTAGGTACTCCCCCATTGAGAAAACGGTGCTGGCCATCGTCCACACGGTGAAAAAACTTGGGCACTACTTCCAGGCTCACCCCGTCCACGTCCTCACGCATCAGCCGTTTGGCGCCCTCATGAGGAGCCCAACCAGCTCTCCAAGGATGATCAAATGGGCGATATTCCTAAGCCAGTACCAGATTGAGATCAAGCCGAGGCCATCCATCAAAGGGCAAGCCTTAGCTGACTTCGTCACCGAGTGCACGGCAAGGGAGACGGCCGTTACCACCACAGGAGCTGGACCGGACGAAGCCTGGACCCTCTACACGGACGGGTCCTCGGCCACCAAAGCTTGTGGAGGTGGCGTCGTCCTCATCTCCCCAGAAGGATTCAGAGCGTACTACGCCATCCGCTTCAACTTCAAAGTATCCAACAATGAGGCCGAATATGAAGCGCTCCTCAGCGGACTCAGACTAGCCGCTGGCCTTAAAGCACGCCACGTCAGAATCAAATGCGACTCCAAACTCGTAGTGAGCCAGATGGAGGGTTCCTACGAGGCCAAAGAAGGGAGGATGAAGCAATACAAGGAGGCCGCTGCGGAATTGCTCAAGGCGTTCGATACCTACGAGATCACTCAGATCCCAAGGGCGGAGAACGCCGAGGCCGACATACTCTCCAAACTTAGCTCCGACACCCCTGAGCACATCTCCAAGATAGCAAAGGTGGAGGAGTTGAGCATGTCAAGCATTCACGCCAGCCCCATACTCTCCATACAGCACCAGCCGGAGGACTGGATCACTGACATCGCAACATACATCACCTCCGGCACGCTACCTGAAGACGAGGAGAGGGCCAAACTAGCCAAGCTCAGGGCCCCAAGCTATGTCATTGAGGGTGACAAGCTCTACAAGAGATCATACAACGGCACCCTCCTCCGGTGCTTACACCAGAATGAGGCCGAAGTGGCCATGGAAGAAGTCCACTGCGGCGTATGCTCATCACATCAGGGGCCCTTCAGCATGTCGCGCCGCCTCGTCGTCCAAGGCTACTTCTGGCCGACGATGGCGCGTGATTGTGCTGAGGTCGCCCGCAAATGCAGCGCATGTCAACACTATCAAAGGGCACCTGGCCGACCAGCCGTCAACTACGCCCCGGTCAGCACTGCCATCCCCTTTTCCCGATGGGGCATCGACCTCGTCGGCCCTCTACCAAGAGCTGCGGGCAACAACAGATACATCATCGTCGCCATCGACTACTTCACCAAATGGGTCGAGGCCGAACCACTCGCAAGCATTACCGGAGCGCGGTGTCGAAAGTTCGTCTACAAGAACATCCTCACCCGCTTCGGCGTGCCTCAGGAGATCATATCGGACAATGACACCCAGTTTGAGGCCGAACCATTCCAAAGCCTCCTCCAAGAGTGGGGCATCAAGCATCGCTTCTCCTCCGTCGCCTACCCTCAGGCCAACGGACAGGTTGAGAACGCCAACAGAACCATCTTGGAGGGGCTGAAGAAGAAACTCGAGGAAGAAGGCGGGAGTTGGGTCGACGAGCTCCCCAACGTCCTATGGTCCTACCGCACTACGCCGAGGAGGGCCACCGGGGAGACACCATTCTCCTTGTGCTACGGCTTCGAAGCCAAGGCTCCCACTGAAGTCACCTTCCCCAGCCGACGGGTCACACAATACGACCCCGAAGCCAATGAAGAAGCAATGAAGATTGACTTGCACCTCATTGACGAAAGGCGGGAGATGGCCTACCTCAGAGCGGAGAACTACAGACGACAAGTCAAATCCTACTACGACGCCAAGGTCCGCTCCCGCGAATTCCAAGTGGGGGACTACGTCCTCCGCCGAAGGGAAGCAAGCAAGCCGACGGAAGGAGGAAAACTCGCCGTCAAATATGAAGGGCCCTACATCATCAGCGCCGTCATCAAAACCGGCACCTATAGACTAAAGAACCCTAATGGGTCAGATGTACCACGATTGTGGAATGTACACCATCTGGTGAAATTTTACCAATGACTCGAGAAGTGGTGAAGCGGGCAACGTCCCCCACCCCTCGGCTTATTGGTTGAATAAAACACCCTCGGCTTAGCGCCACTTATTGAATAAAATTCATGTTTCATCCAATCTTTTAAGATTTGAGCAAAGGAAAACCCAAGGACCGCATCGGCCTAAGCGGTACAAACACCCGGGACCGATGCGACCTAAAGCCGTCACAATAAACGACGCACCTAAAGCCGTTGCAAAAAAACAACGCACCTAAAGCCGTCGCGATAAACGACGCACCTAAAGCCGTTGCAATAAACAACGCACTTAAGGCCGTTGCGATCCACAACGCGCCTACAAAGCCGTTGCATAGACAACGCACCTAAATATCGTATCGGCACAAGCGGTGAAACACCCAAATCGGCCGGCGATATGCAGGACGAAGGACCTGTGTGCATGGTCCAAACGTCTTCAAACGGAGAAGCATACCGCGTCGTCCGCGCGGAAACCGCAGGACGACAGGCCTGAATTAAGGCTGAGGTTACAAAAACTCCACCCGTCAGTAAAATTTCACTCAGGACCACAAAGGGCGGCCGTCAAAAGACGATGCCTAGTCCGGTCCCTCGTCGACGATAGACGTGGAAAGGCCAAAAAAGGTGCCACTGACACACCAAGCCGAGGGCGTATTTACTCCCTCGCACTAATTCACGCGAAAAGCGTGGCCGACAAACTACCGCACATGGACGAAGGGACAGTAACCCTTCGGCCACCCAAAAAAAAAAAAAAAAAGAGAAAAAAAGAGGGAAACCGACGGACCGCGCACCTGCCGGCCTCGAGCACAAAACAAAATCCCCACAAAAAACCAAGCCTCAAATCGGCTAAGTACATATCAGATCTTCACTATACAGGAATCCGAAGCGCACGCTTCGGCCTCAACCACAGCTTCATAAGAGGAAATCGCTTCGGTTTCAAAAAAACCACATTCCATTACTTGGACGATAGGGCGCATCGTCTTCACGTAACAAAACCCAAGTGACGAGCCGAGGCAAAACAGCTCCATCAGGGCAAGTTTGACACTTAGAGAATTTTCTAAGTCATACTACAAGAAAGACGATACGCTGCCTTTCCATATCTGGGTATCGCTTCGTCCTCAACACTCCAAGGTCAGACTCCTGGCACTTAAGGAAATCTCAGGAAAATTTGTTCAAAACAAAACCTGAACTCACAAAGGAACGATGAGGCGCATCGTCCCCAGAGACAGCAAAGGAAAGGGGACCGCTACGTCTCAATTAAAAGACGCCAAAACGGAATTATGATACTTAGATGAATTCTGAAACATTGGGGCTACATCTCCCCCCAGACGATGGAACACGTCATCCCTACAAAAGCGTACACTTACCTGAGCCGTTGCGTTCCCACACTCATAAGGGATCGCGGCGTCTTAAACAAGCGAGCCATGTCTTGATGATGATACTCAGAAATTCTAAGGGAAAGGAGCCTCGTGGGCACGTAGACGAAGCAACGCTTAGTCTCAACACTTGGCAAAAATCATGAAAGTCAAAAGATACATATGAATTTAAAACAACAGAGACGAAGCGACAAGACATTCATACTTGAACAAAAAGGTGTTATCATTAATGATTAAAGACTGGGGCGCTTCGGCCATTACATACATCAGGGCGCTTCGGCCATTGAGACTACTACTACAAATGAAAAAAGAAAACTAGGTACAAGGAAACACTAAACCGCTTGTCCTTGGCCACCCTTAATGGCCCCACTGTCGGCATCGTCCTCGACATCATCAGCGGTTTTCGACTTGGCCGAACTCCTGAAAAGGTAGTCATCACTTTCAGTCCAGGGCTCCTTCTCCTCATCAGAGCTCAGAATAGGACGCTGCCTTTCGGCCAGAGGAAGCTTCAACTCTTCCTCAGGGTCGTTCATCAGACGAGGAAGGCCGATCCCTTGCGGCTTCAGATTCTTTACACGCCGACGAAGCCTCCGGTAGACCAGCATCTGCATGCGCCGCTGTCCTAGGTCATAAAAGACCTCCATCTCTTGCTTCCAAAAAGCCTGGCCGGCCGGATCTTCTTGTGACCAAGCCTGGAAGCGATCGGCCACAACCTTGAAACAGAAGTCATGACGGGCGTCGTCCTTCCACCCCTCAGCCATAAAGAGCTCAACGGCTTTATCAGCCGCCTCTTCAGCATGAGCCTTGAGCCTCATAGCCTCCTCGGCTCTCTCTTCAGCCAGCCGACGGGCATCGGCCTCTTCATCTAACTTCAGCTGGAGACGCCTCGCCTCGTCTTCGGCCTCAGCGGCCCTTTTTTCAGCCGCATCGGCTTTTGCCTTGAGCGAGCTGGCCTCGTCTCGGAGACGCTCTAGGGCGGTCAACGCCTCGTCAGCGGAGGCAACCTTTTTCTCAGCCTCCCTCAGGCGAGCAAGCTCTTCTTCTTGCCGACGCTGCTGCTCCATCAGCATGAAGGCACCCTGCAGAGACAAAACCAAAGTCAGAAAAAACAAAGGAAAATAGGGCGAATATTACAAGTACGAACTCAGACACTTACTTGGACGACAAAGTCCAACCCGCCATCAAAGAGGCGCACTTCCTTGCCTTGCCGGCGGAGGTACTCCCGGTCAGCATCAGGGATAGCCTGGAAGAGGACGTCATGGCCTGACACCTTCTCATTAAATAACCCGCCCCCCTTCGGGTATCGCACCGTCACCTCACGAAGACCGGTAGCCAAATCCCGGCCGGAGCGAGTACTTCCCTTGGCGACAGCGCCAGATTTAGTGGGAACTAGGGCCGACGAAGGCGCCTCAAGCGTCAAGTCCTCAATAACCTGGACTTCAGAGACATGCTCTTCTTGAGTTGCGGCCTGTTCGGAAGCCGCAGTGGCATCACCTTGACGAGGTACTTGCTTCGTCTTCTTTGCAGACTGGCCGGGCACCAGACCCGTCTCGTCCAAAGTGCGCTGGCCTTCCTCAGGTTTCTTCTTTCGCTTCACCACCACCTTCTTGGTCGCATCGGCTTGACCTTTGGAGCCGTCACCTGAAGCCTTAGACGCCTCGGCCCGCTGAGCAGCCTGCATTTCCTTGTCCACCATCTTCTTAGCCTGGGTCATGAACAACTTACGGCTCATGGTGAAGTCTGCGGATGCAAAAAACAAGAGTTAGAAAAAAAAAGCAAGGCAAATCATAATGGGAGTCCAAGGAAAGCTGACAACCTTCGGCCTCGGCCGGGATCCCAAAGTATGGCCCATCGGCCTGCTCAAAATAGCCAGACATCTTCGGCCATAATCCACAATCGGGGTCGCCCGGTATGTAGTATCGCATCATCCCAAGGGCCGCTATCTTGAATTCGGTGATGTAAGTGTTGACGCTCCGCGGCCCACCCTTCAGGAACGCCTCCACTTGAGCATCAATCTCAGGGCTCTTCGGTGGGACGTGCAAATTAAAAATGCCGTTGTGCCCTTGGGAGGGGAAGAACACCCCATCAGCCAGCTTCACAAAACAAAACTTACTCTTCCACCCATGAATGGACGATGGGAGGTCAGTAAAGGATCTCTTCTTCGGCAACTGCTGGAGGGCCGCATATCCAGCACAGTTCTCGTGGCTGCCCCGGCCGATCCGGTATAAGTTTGTGAACAACGCCGTCGTCGGCTCTATCCCAAGCTCATCGCATCGGATAAGGAACCCAACGATGAGGGAATAGCTATTCGGAGTCAACAAAGCCGGTGGGAGGTCTATCATGCCCAGGTACTCCACAACAAAAGGGGGAAGAGGAAATCTCAAACCATGAGAAAAGCTCATCGGATAAACACCAAAATATCCAGGGGGTGGGTTCAGGACGTGGTCTGTCGGCCTCGGCGCCCTCACCTTCCCATAGGGGCCTACGTACAACTGCGCCACTTGGTATTCACTTTGGGTGCTCTCCGGCCTTATGATGAAGAGATTCGTTAGGTCCAATTGCGAACGCCCGCTGGATACCCCTCGCCGCCGACGCGATGAGCGTCTCTTCACTGCCCTTGAGGACGACGCCCCACCTGGCACAAAAGAAATAGGTGGAGGACAGGGGATGGCGGCCGATGAAGCATCACCCGCGTCGCCTTCTCGAAGCTTAGGCTCAGAACTCGCTTCGTCCTCACCTGAATGTTGAGAACCCGCGTCATCACTCAAACGCTCCTCGTCCACTGAAGTACGATAGTCCGCAGTGTTCTCCATCTCAATCTCAAAAGCTGCCACGATGTTCAAATCCACTTGGGGAGACGTGTCGTCCTCGTCAAAAGGCCAGTCCGATTCGTCCAGAGAGGCTGTCAAATCAATAGGGGAAGGGACGCTACGGCCGTCAGGGAACGGCATAACACCTAAGACTATTCCTAAGGGTGGTTTTTTCGGATCAAAGTGGTTTTCCTACAAACACTAGATCTAACCCCCTAGGAAGCAAAGTATAACGAAAAACGAAGAAACATAAAAGAACCTAACCTTGAGGTTTTGAAGAATGCGATGAACACTTCAGAGTACTGGGAAGCACTTCTCTCTCTAGAAATCTCAGCAGCAATTCGACTTGGAGAAACGCAAATGAGGGAATGGCTTCGGAGTAGGGGGGTATTTATAGACACTCACCAACGGTTACTACACGTGGCACAATCCGATTGGCCACCACAATGGCCGCCTCCCACAACGGCTTGACCTTTCGCATTCCACCCTAGAGCCACCCGCTACGGCCCAACTCAAACTTACAAAGAGCAAGGCATCGGCTGAATACCGCTACGGCCCAATTACTACAAAGCCCCAAAGCAGGCATCGGCCCATACTTCCGATAAAAGGGAGCGTATCGGCCTAAACTCTACGTCCTCACAACGACCCAAAGAACCTTAATAACCCGCTACGGCTGCTTGTGCGCGCATCGTTGATGATAACCCCGGCATTGCGGCCTTCGTCCAAGGGTTCTCCCACAGGGTTACCTTGGACAGGTTCGCCTAAGGGTTGGAATCACGACTAACGCATAGGAACCGAATCGGCTCATTACTCCCTTGTGCCTCAGATACACTTCGGCCAAAGGAGTGGGGGACTGGGGGACTGTATCGGCCACAAGAAAAGGAAGCGCAACGGCCCTAATACAAAAGGGTGTGCTACGACTCACCAACAACAAAAAATGGACAATTCACCTCAAATAAGCATGAAGAGTCGCATCAGCTGCCTCAAGAGCATTGCGAGTCGCGTCGGCCGACAGCGCCCAAAAAACCCAGAATGCAAAATCTAGCGCGCAATGACTACGTACACTGGGGGACTGCGTCGGCTCACCAAAGCAAGAACCCACAAAGCAGACGCTTCGGCTACATGGCAAATCAAAGGCACGCATCACATCGTCTACATAAACAGAATCAACCATCTTCATCTCATGAAAATAGGTCTCCGCTACGGCCAAAAGGATAGATGGGAGCTCTTCAACCACAACAAGATGACAATAAAAGCATGCCAACTTGTCCACACCAAAATTCATCACATCTACAAAAAAGAAAGCGCATCGCCTCGTCTTCAAAGGCACTTCCACAGAGTGTGCATCGGCCCGCATCAAGGCTATGAGTTCCCAAGCACGCTTCATCTACATCAAATAAGGGAACCGCTTCATCCAAAATCGAAGCAGGAACTCTTCGGCCATCAAACGCCTTAGACTCACGCAACGGCCAACCAGAAAGGAACAAGTACTCCCTTTCGCTTCGGTTTCACCTCAGCTCAGAGAGTGGGGGACTCCTGATAGAGTATATGGGCCTGGACCCCATGGCCCACATACTCACGGCCCAAAAGACACCAGTGGGACACCCGCATCGTCCAGAGGCACGTAGCGTCCAAGAGAGAGGATGTCGCCTGATTTCTATGGACCGCATCGTCCATGGACCGCGTCGTCCATGGACCGCGTCGTCCATGGACCGCATCGTCCATGGACCGCATCGTCCGGACTTCGTCCAGGCAGAATGTATTTTCCTATCTTTTGTACTAAGTGTTGTACTCAGCCCATTAGTGGCCTTATTCACCCAAAGAAGGCATGATTATTGTAATGGGCCTCCTAAGCCCAAGGCTAGGGGCCCAAATCCACATTTTTACCTATAAATAGACCCCAAGGGGCTAATTATGGGGGGTTCCAAGTTGAGAAATATAATTACTCACTTTCTCTCTCTAGCTCTCACTTCTCTCTAGAACTAATACTCCATCAAAACTCAGCCTAAAAATAATTTAAAGCTGACTAAGTCATCCTTCAAAGCCTCTAGCTCCTTCTTCTGGGTACTTAAAGCAAGCTGATCTTCGTCTGATGCTTTGATAGTCTTCAAAATCTGTGAAGATTCCTCCTTGGCCTTTGTAAGAGCTGCATCTAAGTCGCTAGCTTCTGCATGATGCTGTAAAATCAAAGCTTCTACTTCCTTAGCTTCAGCTTCCAATAAGGCTATCTTCTTCTTGATTTCATTAAGAGATTTCTCATCATCAAGTAATGCGACCTGATTTTGAGATCTCTTAGCTTCAATATCTGCACAAAAAGCTTGCAACATATCTAATTCCCGAGATTGCCTCTCCGTGGGGACCCTGTCAGCAATAGGAGAACACTTCTGATCAAATGCTTGCGCCCTTTCAAAGAAATGCTTCACCCTTGTCGTCAACATGGAAAGGTCAATGCCTTCCTTGTCCATCAAGATAACACAACTCTCCACACTTTCCCGAAAAGAAGAGACGTTCTCTGTTGTAGCCTTTCCTAACTTCTCCTGAATACCGCACCAAGTGTCAATGAGGAACCGCTTATACAAAGGAAAGAAGTACTTCTCTACTTGAAAAACGGATACAGCCGGTTTCACATGAGGGGACTTCGGTATCTCGTTGGTTGGAACTTCTTTGCAATTACTTGGGGCAATTTTTGCCATCAACCCCGCAACGGTGTCATGATCGTCATGATTTGAAGAACTAGCGTCATCAAGGATTGGATGAATCTGCAAAAGAAGGAAGAAACTATAAGTCCAAACTTGAGATTAAGTTAAATTGTTAAATAATGAGACTAACCCTCAATGGCCCATGATGAGGTTTTCTCTGAAGGTGCTTCCAATTCCTATCATCATTACTTTGCTTCTCAAGAACTTGATTCTCACTCGCCTTGGCAGGAGGTGTTTCTTTCTCAGCATCCTTGATCAGAATCTCAGCCCTAGGTGCTACAAGCTTGGCCCTTTTCTGAGGCGAAGACTTAGCTTCAGTATCGGGTACTTTTTTCTTCTTCTTGGAGACTGGAGTCACGGGATCCGAAGGGGTAACCACATTGCCAATAGCAAGATCGTAAATCCTGATCAAATCACTCACATGATTTTCCAGAAAACTTCCATGGACTTGACCCCACCATTCTTTATATTGCAAGGAATAAAATTTCGCTGGCATAGTAGGAGGGGTCGGAAACACCGCTCCAGCCCGTGACATACCATGCGCAAACTGTTGCCAAAGCTGAAATCCAGAAGAAAGAGAAACACGACGATCACGCCTCTCAGGCCAACCTGGTGCATAAGCTTGGAAGTACCCAAACTGTCGACTAAAGCGATGAGGAGTGTAAAGCTCAGCAATGCAACGGTCTTGGTAGCGTAATACGAGAAAATTAGAACAAAGACATCTGAAGAATGCTAAGTCAGTCTCGGAAGAATTCTCGTCATCAAAGAATGCATGGTCCTTGATCCTTCGATGTGTAGAACATATCCACGCAGATACATCTCCCTGGAAAATCCTCCTACGCGCCCTTGTTTTCTCAAGGGACCGTGCTCCACCTTCCACCTTCATCAATGGGGTCGTGGACTGAATATCATTCTTGAAATGAGTGTCAAAGTATGTGGCCAACCATCCGTAGACATAGTGAACAGGAAAACACGTTCTAACTTTATCAGGGAATGGAGCATTTGAAATTTGATTAAGTCCGTGATAAATACTAGCAAGAACTGGAACAACAAGACATATTTTCCTCCCGCAAGCCATCATGGAAGCAACTTTAAAGGTTTCCGGACGAATGATCCTTGGACCTTCATGGGGCAATACAAAGGCGCAAAGCCAACATGATAGGAATGCCGCTAAGTATATCTCTTCCTCATATTCAGCAGGAACCTTGAGTGCTTGGAACGACACCTTCATAGAATTCGACCACCCGCTAAACTTTGGAATTGCTCCGCTAGGATTATAGGTTGCCTTAGCACGGGATGATCTCTTCTTTTCTGTTCTCTGCGGAGGCATAACGTACTTAGAAGCCTTCTTAAACCAAAATTTGACCCACACATGGACACGCAGAGCACGTTTGTCTCCCACCGTTGGAAAAAGATGATGATATGCATCAAATAGGTATTTGCAAAGTTGAAAAGGGCGGTCAACATCTGTATTTAACAAATCGAAGGTGCTCGTAATAAACTCATCATATGCATCCCCAATGATTGGCAACCCCCCAATAACATGCAAGTCCCAAAGTGTGATCGTCAGTTCGCCGATCGACGTAAGTAATGTATTCACCATAGGGCACCACGCTTCACAAAAGGCTTGCATAGCATTCGTACACCGATCATATGTGAACAAGGAAGCATAAACAGCATCATATATAAGCCCCTTCTCCAAAACACTTTTACTCAAGCTTAAAATGTCCTCGGCCCATTCCCAGTAGCCTTTGATGAATCTAAATTCGCCGCCGAATAATAAGGTCTTTATTAAAGGGGCATTTGCATCAAGGATTCGTCTACCCAAAGAAGGGAGAATCTCGGAAGATGGCTTATGAAGGAAGTCAGACACTAAAGTCCGCATAGTTTGATCTTGATACTTGCACTCGGGAGTCCAGTCTGCAACCCGGTAAGACACAACAGTCGCACCCCAAAACTCGCGAGCAAATGGCCTAAAAATCTCCAGAAGGATTTCTTCGCCATTCTTCTTCTTTGATACAGAGAGATACTTTTTGCCTCCACGCATTACGTCTCTAAAGTATACCATTTTGGACTGCAAAAAAAATGTTATTATTATTATTAGTATTATTATTATTATTGCTTAAAAAAACTAAGGTAATAATAATAATGATAATAATGATAATAAAAGAGGCAGCTCGGTGGTAATAATTTGTCTCAAGCCCAAACAACGGACGTCATATTCAGACCAGACGAACGAAGAAATCGGTAACACCGGTCAATAATTTGTCAAGCTCCCTCAAAATGAACTAAGGTCGAAAGTGGCGGCGACATTTAAGCAGCACCAACAATCGGCAATCGGCCTAATTCTTCAAATCGGTGCCATCCCAACAAAGGGCTAAGCAGCACCGACGGTTAGAAATCGGCTTGATTCTTCAAACCGGTGCCATCCCAACAAAGGGCTAAGCAGCACCGGCGATCGGCAATCAGCCTAATTCTTCAAATCGGTGCCATCCCAACAAAGGGCTAAGCAGCACCGACAGTTAGAAATCGGCCTAATTCTTTAAATCGGTGCTATCCCAACAAAGGGTTAAGCAGCAGCGACGATCGGGAATCGGTCTAATTCTTCAAATCGGTGCCATCCCAACAAAGGGCTAAGCAGCACCGACAATCAGCAACCGACCCGATTCCTTAAATCGGTGCCATCCCAACAAAGGGCTAAGCAGCACCGACAATCAGAAATCGGCCTAATTCTTCGAATCGGCGCCATCCCAACAAAGGGCTGAGCAGCACCGACAATCGGCAACTGGCCTTATTTCTTAAATCGGCGCCATCCCAACAAAGGGCTAAGCGGCACCGACAATTGGAAATCGGCTTAATTCTCCAAATTGGCGCCATCCCAACAAAGGGCTAAGCGGCACCAACAACCGGCAATCGGCCTAATTCCTTAAATTGGTACCATCCCAACAAAGGGCTAAACGGCATCGACCATCGGGAATCAGTCTAATTCTTCAAATAGGCGTCATCCCAACAAAGGGATAAGCAGCACCGAGGATAGGCAATCAGTCAAACTCTTTCAATGTTTTCTTCTTTGAACGACCTGCAACGGAATTGGCACCTTCATTATTTTCTTCTCTGAATCACCTGCTACTGGATAGGACACCACTTTCTCCTTTAGCCTTCTTGATCAGCTTTAAACCACCAATAGCAACTCCAGAGAGCTTCTACTTTACTCATCGTCAAAAATCAGAAGCCAATCAGTGAATCAGCTTCATCTCAACAATCGGCTTTGTCTTCTCTGTATTGGCGGTCAGAACAAAAGCAGGTCGCCACAGCTCCGGAAGATTCTGGCTGCAGAGCTCCCTGAAGTCTCGTTCGCTACTCACCATCCGAAACCAATCTAGAGCCCAGCAATTGCGACAGAATAGGAAACGGCTCCGTTGAAGCTTCTGACGGCATGACAGCATCTTGTTCAAGCGCTCAACCAACGCCCTGCTTCCTTCAGCCTCCCTACGGGAAATTTGGACAACAACTCTTCTGGCAGTACTCTGAATTAGCAGCAAGTTAGGAGCCGGCAACACTAATCTTCTTTTGGACGGATAAGACCGCTAAAGCCCCTCTGTAAATCAACTTTGAACTACCGCATCAACAAAGTCTGTGGCCGGAAGCATCTCTACCTGAAACTCTCCCCTGCAATTTGACAAAAAGAAAAGAGAAGGGCTAAAAAAAAGAAGAAAAAAAAAGAGCCGGTATACCTTTTGATTTGCTTTGGCCGAGCCGATTTCTTCTTCTGAAGCTTCTAAGTAAATAAAACTGTGATCCGATTTATGTGCTATAGAATTCAAGTCCTGATAGAAGTTCGATCATTATTATTTTGAGTTGAAGGAGGATTCAATCGCGTAGTATTCCTACGTATATTGAATATAAGTTGGACTGAGTGGGATGATGATGAGATTTTTTTGGATTCGGACTCCTCTCAACTACGAAGTATTACTCTGTAGAATTTGATTTCTCTTTGAGCAAGTAGGAATATTTGGTAATGAAGAAATTGGATTGTGAGTGGATTAATGATTTTGGGCCAATCATTTTTCTAGAAATCCCCTTCTTTCGAGCTTTCAATATACTCCAAATATTATGTCAAGAATCCGGAATTATTTTCGAGACTCACTTGTCGTGATGATAGAGTCGATACATCCAAGCAAGTCTCGAGGGGGCATTTGTGGACATATAAAATTAACGGGCCATTTGTTCATAAATCAATTGGACTTTTGAGATATTTAGACCGAGTTGTAATTATCATTGGGCCTCTTTTGAATTTATTGGGCCAACGTCAGATTCTACTGGACTGCTTGTGCATGCTAATATTGATATGGGTCCGTTCGGATAAAACTTAGTGATTAAATTAATTTGGGTCATTTAAAATGCCCAATTAATTAAATTATAAATTAATTCCTTAAAGGAATGGACTGGTCCTATTAATTTCTTTATTAAGCCTATTATCAAATAGTAAGAGATCCAGTTGATAAAGAGGACGAATCTGGTTAAGAAATGTGTCCATATGCATGAAAAATAGCTTTGAACCTTGTTAAAAAAGCTGTCCAAATACATCGAACAAGTGCTGATTTTTCTAGCTATTAAATGCAAGCAAATAGAGCCCAAAACCCATTTTAATTTAGGCCCATATAATATGGACGAATTTTGGGAACCCTAAGCATATTTCATCCTCCTCAACACCTATAAATAGGGGTCTCAGATGAGAGGAAGGAGAAGAGAACTTCCAGTAAAAGAAACGCTGCAGAAAAGCTCTGAAGAACTCCCAAAAGGCTCTGAAGGATTCCGAAACATCGGAAGATATCAAGCCACGTTTTTTTTGTCAAGAATATATGATTAATCCTTTGTGATTTCATTTATTCTTGATCAAACAAAGCAAAAAGTTGAAGAACGTTCGAAGATCTGAAGAACGAAGCTTGAAGATTCGAAGATCTGAAGAACGAAGCTTTGAAGATTCGAAGATATGAAGAACGAATCTTTGAAGATTTGAAGATATTCATATGAAGATTGGATCAAGATTCAACTGAAGATCAAGCCATAAAACGACCCTTTTGTTGAAGATCAAGCCACTTGAAAACCGGAGGCCCTTCAAGCTGAATTCTTTATTCAAGAAGATTTGAAGATCCGAAGAACGAAGGTTCGAAGATTTGAAGATCTCAAGAACGAAGATTCGAAGACCCGAAGAACGTTCGAATATTTGAAGGATTAGAGATTTAATTTTAAATTAAATTCTTTAATTATATTACTTCAAATTGCAAGTGAAGAATCAGAGGATTCATATTTAGAGATTGTACCCGATATTCTCATATAATATTATTTGCGATCAATTTTAAGTAAATACTTAAAATTTGTTTCACAAACGTGTTTGTTTAAGTTTTTGAGTGATTATGAGACTTGTAACTTTATATAATTTGTTATTACTCTAGACTTGTGCAAGGATTGTTTTATTTTAGCTTTTTATCATGTACTAAATTGTTACTTAAACTTGTTTAACATTTGTGGAAGAATTGAAAAATAGCTTGTGTTATTGTTTTAGATTGATCGTGTGAACATGTGAAAAATTGTGCTATAGTAGTTGGTGATACTGTTAATGGTGTGATACTGTGATTATAGTATAAATGGGGGTCATATTGCAAAATTTTTTGGAAAATTACCGAAAAAATCTAGGCTTTTCACATCAATTGATAAAAAACTGATGTGATTGTTTTTCTACATGTGTTATCACCGATGTGAAAAACATATATTCCGGAAAAATTGAAGGTTTTCACATCGGTTGATAATATAACCGATGTGAAAGATTTTCTACATGGGTTATAACCGATGTGAAAATCTAATGTTTCGGGAATCTTTTCTACATGGGTTGTTTTAGACCCGATGTGAAAAATCCACATCGGTTATAACCGATGTGGAATACCATTTAAAACTCCGTTCTGGACAACCTTCTAGATCGGTCACTCCACAACCGATGTAGAATGCTTTTTCACATCGGTTGTTTGACCGATGTGAAAAGTCTCAACTTTTCACATGTGCTGGAACCACATCGGTTGTTTGACCGATGTGAAAAGCCTTTTTTGACCGATGTGAAAAGCCTTTTTTGTACTAGTGCAAGTACCTTCTCTTCATATTTTTCAGTTATCCATTTCTCACTGACTATTCTTAGCTTGAACCTCAAATTGCATAAATGTTTTGATTCAAGGACCTTAACTTGAAAGCACTTCATCCTAGGTTCCCAACTAGCAGTACAATTATAAGGGCATGTTGGAGCACATTTTATCCTAACTCTATCTGTTGTATTTTTCACAAAACGCACATCTCTTTTGTGAAACACAGCATATGTTATAATAGCATTCTTGAATTGCCTTGCATCTTCAAAAAGCATTGCCACCTCAATTAGAGGAGGTTCTGACTCAGGGTTATAGGATTTGTGCACCATGTGTGGCCCTGTAGACTGATTCTCTTCTATTTTTTGATCATAAGTGTAGCTTCCTGGGTTACAAGAATCATATTCCACACCGTCTTCATCCTCATCATGTATTTGTGGGTCATTATCTTCTGGTCCTTGATGCCTTCTATCTGACCCAGCTTGCACATCATTGAACATGCCGTCTACTTCTGTGTCTTCATCCTGATAATCTATTTGTGGTTCATTTTGTTCTGGGGCTTTATTCCTTCTATCTGACCCACCTTGCACATCATTGAAGATGTCTTCCACTTCTGTGTCTTCATCAGATGTCACACCCTGATCACTTGCACAATTTTCTTCTTGTTGTTCATGTTCATCATTTTCTTCCATACTGACATGGCTTTGTTCCTCTTATGTGCATTCATCAGCCTCAATATGCACTTCATAAAACTCATCAGGATGCCTGTGTGTCTCACTTTGTTTGACATTGGTCTACTTTGATTCTTCTTCCTGGATTTCACCTTGTATATCTCCTTCCACCTCTTTTATAAGACCCCCATCATTAGGTCCAGGTAAAGGGAGAATCAATTCACACTCATCCAAACCATGCTCTACATATATCTCACACTGCCCACAAGTAGTAGCCATATGTATCAGCTGAATTGTGGATGCATCATCAAACAGGGGCTTCAGGTCATCCATAGTATCACTGGGTGCTTTAAAAAACAGTCCTTGAATATTACCATAGCTTCCAGACTGTAAGAACTTCATTAAATGAGGATAACATATCAAGTTCGGATCTATTGGGACACAACTCACTTCTCCACCAATGTACATACTTTGAGGCACACTCACAAAGTTCCCACCATGGTGAATTATTAGCTCAACTTTATCAAACATTCTCTAAAAAAGAGAACACAATGCAAAGAAAACACCACAATAAGGCACAACTTCGTCATTAATCAATCAACATATACATGTTCATAATCATTCATAAACACCCATTACAATTGTCACGCCCCGGACCTACCGGGCACGTCAACAACCCGCCGTACAGTACGAATAGTCAACCGCAGTCCAACTCATCCATACTGTACAAGGCGTCTTGAATATCATTCACAATAGCACGTCCATAAACAAGCATAATGTAAAATAATCATTTAAAATCAGCGGAAACGTTTAATACAAGTGTTTATGCCACACTCCGGCAATATGGGCATACAAGCCCCAATAATCATTCAAAAATATCCATGAGCATTAATTGAAATGTTTTTAAAATGGAGACGGAGGAAGCACGAACCACGTCTTCCTTCCTAGATCTTCCCGAGGCAACGGGCACTGGTAGCAAGCTCTACTCCCTACCTGAAACTGTGAGGTGGCCTCCCCCGTGAAGGGGAGGTCAGTACTTGGAAGCATTTGACAAGTACAATGACAACTATACCAAGTATAATCAATGTTTCAATTTCTAAGACCCTCAAAATAGGGTGATATCATAATATAAATAATAATTTATATTTCCCACTTATTATCTCTTTAATAAGTAAATTTATTTATTTGTCGGCACACGGCCCATTTCATATATTTCATTATACCCGTCGTTAGCACGACACCGCCCGTAGGTCTTATCATCCTTTACGAGACTTGTCACCGCTCTCCGAGGCCTCACCGGGCTCTCGGGCCGGAGTCCAACATCCCGCCCCTGAACTCATACCCATCGTCCCGTAGGAAGGTAAGGTCCATTCGGGGTCCTATCTTATGTGTTACCGCTGTCGGGAGCCTCGTAAGGTCTCCGGTTCGGATTCCACCCTAACCCGTGATCACGATGTAAGTCCATGCTATCCAACCCCGCTCTCTAGAGTCGGGAAGGGCCATGGTCCTTACTAATTACCAATACTCTATCGGCTAATCCTTAAGACTACCGAATACACCCGTAGGCCAATCCTATTCATAGGATCAATTTATTATTCACTTTATCTTGGGTATCCCTTAAGGCCTACCCCTAGCATCACTTATCCACCTTAGTATCTCTTAAGACTACTTAAGGCTCAACAATTTACAATCCAAACCTTGGATCAATTCTAACATATTTCATTCCAAAACCCCGACTAGTATCATAATACTAGTCGGATAAATTCCAACAAAACTCATTTTCAATTTATAGTCATATAGACAATTTCCAAACTAATTTTCCATTTGAAAATATAGTTCACATCAATATACAAAATATAATCTTTAATCACTCATATATCCTTATATGAAGTTAAAATTATATTTCAACATAATATTCATAGTTAATCCCTTCATCAAGCCAATATGCTCATATTACATAATCATACACAATTTATCCTTAAATTTGTATATTATGCTCCTTTATTCATTGACAACAATATTTTCATTTAGGCATTATTAATCATTAATAATCCATGAAAATAACATTTAATTTCTTTAGGTAATCTTACGAAATTAACCCAAAGATTATAAACAACATAGTCAGCCATCCTCACCTTGTGATGTACTACAATAGTTGCCTTTGCTAAGCCCCTCGATCGATCCCCGTTCTAGGCCGATCGAAAGTGAAAATCCTGGACAGTAGCCCCAAAGCCGGGCGGCTTTCACCCAAAGCCGGGCGGCTTTCGTAGTCTGCAACTACGAACAGCTTCTTCTCCTTGGCGGTTTCCGGTGGTTTCAACTCCTATCGATTCCACGACTCTTCTAAGTTAATTACCACCACTATATAACAATATTATACACCCTTAAACGTGTAAAACTCGTGGTTTAATCCATCATATGATTTCTCAAAAATCATACCACACAAAACTAGTTAAAGAATGTT